TCCTTCTTCATCCCCAAACCTCAAACCTAATGTGTGAAAATGTGACCAGCTCTTCCTTCCTCATCCCCAAACCTCAAAACTAATGTGTGAAAATATGACCAGCTCTTCCTTCTTCATCCCCTCACTCTGATCCATCTCTGTTTCATTTGATTCTATCACACTCTCTCCTCCTCTACTGCTACAAACCTTGGCTTCATGCACAAAGGATAGTCCAAGTTTGCTCTCTGTATCCATAACCTGTCTGTGGCAACTCAACAACACTATTAGCTCACTTCTCCTGTGCAACTTCCAAGTGGGCGGCCTACTTCTGCTTGGATCTGATCTTTGTTTGAGAGCCAAATAGTCACCTAGAGTGGACTGAATAAATTCCTCTCATTTGTAACCTTTCTTATGTTGTCCTGTTGTTTTTACCCATCAATCACTTCATCACTCTGCCGCCTTCTGGCTCCAGCCCCTTATATCTGTCCTTATCTGCTTCACTTTTCTGCTGTTGGTCTCTTGTTCCTTCTCTTCCCTGTCCAACATGTAATGTAATAGAACCACCTACTAAGAACATGAGGACTGTACCATCTCTTCATGCCCTCCCAATTCCCCCGAAAGACTCACTCCTTGAGACCATAACTTCAGATTAAAGGATTCATCACTGGATTGCTTGCATTTTATGTTGTATCGCTTTTGATTCAGTTCACTGTATCGTTTTTCAAATTTTGTAACTGATTTAAGTTCTCATCTGTTTCTTTTTGTTAATACTGCTCTACATTATGTTCAATTATTAATACTTTATATAAATTGCATGGAAGAAAGGCAGGAGCTAAGTAAATATATATATTTGCACGTACTGCAAATATGTATAATTATACTAAGAACATTTAACGGAACATAAGGATTGTTTTTTATAGGACCATTAGGAATTTTCTGTTATTTAATGTTACTTATATCCTTTAATCGGATTCATGGGAACAGAAACTTACATTTCAGGAATGGGATATATGGCTTCATTCTTATGAAAATATGTAATTCAGAAAAAATAAGAAAGCATTTTTTTACCTGTAAAGTTACAATTGTGAGTTCAAAACCAAATTTCTTACCTCCAGAATCACTTTTACACCTTTTGGATCCTTCAGATTTACAGCTATGCTCTGTAAAAACAGTGCCAATATAGGTTTTAATATAGGTTTAACATATTTAAAGTAATATTTAAATATAAAATATAACATTTGAAGTAAATATAATTTAAAAATATAGTCAATATAATATTAAAGTAATAAATATAAAAAATAATATTTAAATAGAAACATATTTGCAAGGACAACTTCATGGACTCACTTTTAAGCTTCAAAAAAAGAAATAGAAAACGAACAACAGGATGTTTACTGTTTTAGGTATGCCATCTGCAGAAGACCTAAGACCTAGACTAAAAAAAACACTTTTTTTATGAGATTCAAAGAGATTTCTTTCTGATACAAGCCATTCATCCCCATCAAGATTGTTTGGTAGTTAATCATAGTTTCAACTTGTGTCCTCTGGCTCCCTAAATCAATGCCTTTGAATATTATAAGCACTTGAATAAGGTCTTCTCCTAGTCTTTTCTGCTCCAAACCAAAATATCCAGTCTTTATATCCTGTCAGGACATGCCTTTATGCACTGGAATGCTTCTGGCTCCTCTTCTCTGGACTGTCAAGAGCAGTAGTACCTTTTCTGTAATGTGGTGACAAAACCTTTACACAATAATCAATATTCTGATATATTTTGACTATAAAACCCCCCTAAATTAAATCCTATGCATTTAAAAACAAGTTAACAGCAAGTTCATTAATATAAGCTTATTTGTGCCCACTAAAATACTCTGCTACATTATCCAGATTATTGTATTTTTTAGTAAAGGATCATCATCCTCAGCTGCAACTCTTCAGGAAATGACAGTATGTTCTAAAAACGGAGGTCTGCACCATGAAACATGATCCGTCTGTTGAAATCACCAATGCAATGGTGGAAGTGTTGCAGTATACACTCGCATCTTATTTGTATAATTGCATTTTGTAATTAAATTAAATTATCTTGATTCTAGCATAAAGGTCAAGTTTAATGTTGCAGTCTGTTAGACCACTCTAGTTGGTACTGCACTACTAAACATTTTACACTTTCATTACATATGATACATAACTTACTGTACATCTCCCCAAACATATACTGATCAAAATACATAGATTTGCTCAATGAATACTATAAATAGTAAACATGTGAATATATCTTTTTTGTCATTACCTTTTTGTTTCGGTTCACACTTAGGAAATATGCACTTTCAGTTCCCACAAATGGAGGTCCCCATGCTCTGGTATCATCACCTGATCCTAAATCCACCACAGGGAGAAACAAGTTATTTTTAAGTCATTGCCAGCTCTGTTGTAGGGTATCATTATAACAGGTCTCAGAAACCCCTCATGCATTATCAAAACATTTTTGAACAAGGTGAAAATCAATTAATTCAATTGGTCAGAGGAGCCCATATACAAACTTGACATCATCTCCTCTAACGCCGAGTACAAAAAAAACTGTTTAACAGGCTCGCTAGTGCAGGTACAGAATTGCTGGTTATTAATAAATCACAGTAAATCAGCTCAAGTAAAGTTGATTTCTGAATGACTCATCATTTACCTGAACAGTCAATTCTCTGCACTGAAATCTCACCAGTAATTTCCAGTCCTTGATTCACACTAAGGGTATAATTCAATGAAAAAGGTTAAATTATGAGATCTCTCATTAAATGATAGTGACAGGGCTCACAACTATGTTACGATATGAGCTACAGGACACAGAATGACCAATGATGAGTAATTCATCATTGTATGTTTCAAAGAAAAAAACATACTGTACAGTCCTCATACTGATAACCCTAAGAAAAATGATCATATAGCAATTCCAAACTGGGAAGAAATATTTTCCAAAAAGATCAGCTTCCGACAAACTGAATTGAAGGGTTTATTTTAACCAAATATTACATTCTATAACATCCATTCTCCTGTATCAGGCTTCTGGTTTTGACATTTCCTGTGAGTGCACAATGTTGCAATCTAGAGCGCAATTTGTCATGATTTTAAAGTGAGCAAACAGAGCATAAAAATAGAAAGTTGCACTGTATAATAGATTTGGTTTTTAATGCCGCGGTGCTGGATATTCAGCACCAACTCAAACAATGTGTATGTCTGATTAGGCTGTTTTCCCCTGGGAGCTCTCTTTTACAACAGAAGCACTGCTGCTACCTCTTCTTAAAACATATCAAGTGTAATCTGGGAGCTAGACAACATCTTCGAGGCTTCAGCACTTTCCTTTCACTTGCATCACAAAACGAAATGGTTGCATATTTGACCAGTACAGCTCCCCCTGCCCCTGCTGAAATTTGATCCTGGTGACTCTGCAGGCTCCCGACCCACACAGCACGACTTCCTACACAGTGAATGAAAGACTGGGCTTTCTATGGTGGTGGAGTTCTATATTGTCTAGGTTTTAGAATAGGGAAACGTCACTTCTGTAATTCACACCGTGTATGTGCCGTGTTACAAATACTCTAAACTTGAATGCGAGGCAGAAGTGTTTAAATGGGAGCTACAGTGTTAATAGGAGCTCTCTTCGGTCCACTTGAATATTCTCGTCTGCTGCACTAATATTATTAACAGAACCTGCCTCTTGTTTTCTTTGTAAAGCAAAAGAAAATGCTGCAGAATTTTCACAAGAGTAAGTGTCACAGAGGGACAAAAGTGGGTTCAGGACATCGGCCTGGGCCTATATTCATTTAAAGTATGCACAATAATGGTCAGTGTTTCTGTCAGGATTTGGTGTGTGTTTTTTTTTCTTTTATGTGTCCTTCCTCTTTTAATTAAGGTCTCCAAACTTCCCCAGCGCAGCCAGTATAACGGATGACAATCAGCAAAGCTTGAATGATACACTGTTTGCCTAGAACAGAAACAGGGGAACAGAGGTGATGGATAGGAGACAAAGGAGAAGGGATGATGCAGCATGATACCTGGTCAATTGAATACAGTCAGTTCCCTAAGTATCCCCCACTCATTAAATATGATATGTTCCATGATCACCCAAACACTTCCACCCCTCATTCAAGTCCTAGAGTTCAGGACCAAAGAGGATATACAGTATAAGCCTTTAGTACGGGGCTTTAGTAGGCCACCATAGAGCAGCAGCTACCCTGTATTTGTTGTGGAGACTGTGACACAGGCACTTAAATACTTTTCATTGTGTGAACGTTGTCTATGACAGGATTGTAATGCCTGAGAAAATCTGTGTTTCCAAACCTCTAATACTTTTCTAAAATAATAATTACATATAACCTTGTTTGCTGTACACGTACCTGGCCTTTCTACTTTGATCACTTCAGCACCTAGGTCTCCAAGTATCATACTCGCAAATGGACCAGCCAAAACTCTGCAAAGAATTTCAGAGAAGGTGATTAGGAAGAAGGCCAGCACAGCGACGCAGGGGTTAACATTGTTGCCTCACAGCGCTGGGGCCCTGGGTTCAATTCCAAACCTGGGGTGCTATCTGAGTGGAGTTTGTATATTTCCCCTGAGTTCACATGGGTTTCCTCCAGGTGCTCTGGTTTCCTCCCACAGTCCAAAAATATACTGGTAGATTAATTGGCTTCTGGGAAAATTGGCCCTGAAGTGACTGTGTTTACCCAGAGATGGACTACTGTCCATCTACTGTCCATCTCTGTGAACTCTCAGGTTCACAGAGGTGTGAACCCTGACTTGCTTGCCGGGATAGGCTCTGGCTCCTCTGTGACCATGAATTGGAAGAAATGGTTATAAAATGGATGAATGGGTGGATAATCATAAAGACCATAAACCTTTTTTGTTTAGATACAGAATGTAAGGAACAGTTTTCAGATGCTAGCATCACATAGGTTTTTATAAACATACAACACCTTCTGGCATCTGAATTTATCAATGTAAAGAATATAAACATTCTTCTTAAAAATGTAACAATGAACACAAAGGAGTAAAAATAGCATCAGAGCATATACAAAAACTGATGGGACCCAGCAGTATTAGACTGCTAAATGAGTATATTAAGTGCATTGGATTTGTAGCACCAATTAATATCATCTGCAAATGTTATTGTGCAAATTATGCAACAAATAAATTTCCTGTCCCACTTTGTGCTGTATATTTAAAGAGCACAGATATTTGCTCCCATTCGCTCTGTTTTTCATGTTTTTAAAATATGGTACCCTATCTGCTAACTGCTATCAAATAAAACACCTTAAGACACTTTATAGTGCCAATTAGTATCAGACTTTGGAATTTGCTCCCTTACCATAATACCTGATTTTCATACTGAAATTAAAAAGTACTTGTCAATGAAAAGTGAAAAATCATAAACCAATCACTACACAAGGATTCTGTGCATGAAATGTCGACATATCTACACCATTTGCAATAAATAAGTCACCATGAAAAGAAGTTGAAATAAAGGTAGAAAGCCACAACACTCCAAACCAAATAACAGATATCAACTGGAATTGGTTCCTCATAGGCTGCTAAACAAAGTGTACACTACATACAGTATATAAGTATAAAATATATCACATAACTGATCGTCTTGCAAGATGATTGCTTTGCTAAAAATACATGATACTGCATAAAGCTGTTTCAGTCTCCAACATGATTTGGAAAACAGAATGAAGTTCATTACTGACATGGATGTTACAAAGACAGAAGCGCAGATAGTTAAACAGTTGTGCATGCCTGTGAGGGCATAAATTCTCTGAAGCAAGGTCATTTTAATATTTCAGTTTCGCTGATTTGGAAGATGTTCACAAGCCTCAGAGGCTGCCACCAGGCTGAGAAGGGGGCACAACCACAGGGGACAAGCCTGTCAGGCTGTAAGGTGGAAAGGTCCCTGCCTCTGTTTGGCCTTAATGATACTGTTATCAGTTATCAGATGGGACCACAAGACACGTCAAACCCAGGGCCAAAAAACCCTTGTGCATCTTTCATAAGACATTGTAATGTAAAAATCATTACAATGAGGATTGAAAGGAATTATTTTATTAATAGTTCAGATATAATCAAGTTTTGTACATCATGGCAATCATGCACATTGATTTTGCATTCATAAATACACTTGAATAAACAGTTTGCAAGGTAGTGACTAGAGCAGTGATAAAACCTGGTGTGATTATACATAATGCAAGCAAAACATCATTTACAAGGAGAGGCAGTGTTTCAAGTGAGATCCATACACTGTGTATTTAAACCCATGTATCAAAGCTCCTAGCTCTCTGGAGTTTGTAGTCTCTGTTAGAAAAGCATGAGAAAATGGACAAATATTTCCATTTACCTTTAAAAATCATTTCACCTTCATTTTCCTTTCCTGTGAGCTCATGTTTTTGTATGCTTTTGTGTTTGTAACCACTTTTGTTTATAGTACTAGAATATAGTACGTGGGTTTTGTTTTTTTATTTTCACTGTGAGTTATTTTTGTTATGAAGTATAATAGACGTTTTTCTTCCAAATGAGAATGTGAAAAGTTTCTAAAGTGACATTCCACACATCACTCACACCTTAATACTAGTTACCAGAGCACCAATTGTTTTCATCTCAAAGTAGGCACATTTAAGTGCACAAATTATATTTACAGATATCTCTGAAATCCTTAGAATAATTCCAAATGCATAAGGACAACACAACAGCATCTTTTAGAACCCAGGGAGTGTCTGTTAAAGAGTTAATGTAGTGTTTTTAAATGGAAGAGCAATGCCATTCATTGCAAAGCATTATTAAAGATCTGCAGTGAAAAAAAAAGCTTGTGGTGCAGAATTAGAATGGTCAGTGTACTGCTCTATCTGGTTAGCAAACACTGATTAGTGACATTGTAGATCTCAAAAGCAACAGTGAGCCATATAGACACAGTGCAATGTAAACTGGAAACCAAATGTCTCCTGCGGTTCATAAGTCCACATTCACAGACCTGGGAAACAACAGTATTTAAAATATTGTTGGTACACAGCTTCACGGCACAGGAATAGGAAAAGAAACCAACCTTGTGAGATCCAAAATTTTGATCCCTTCAAGGGGCTTTACATTCATTTGTCCTACAAGGAGAAAGAAATATGTATAATATTACAAACCAATACTTCCTTTAATTTACTTCAGAAGGTCAAATGAAACAAATGTATTATGCTCATCACATTGACAAATGAATTGTGATGTAGGCATTGCAAGGTGTTTTTTCAAACTCAGTCTGTTGCTGATTGATATACTATTTCTAATAGAAAAGCAGCAGTGGAAATACACTCTGGGCAGGCAACTAGGCTAAGATTAGGACACATGTGCATCTTCTAACTCCACCCACCTCTACAAAAGTAGGGTTGGAGCTCAGGAGAAAACTTCCTTAACATTTCTTTAATTTTCCAACATACTGACAATACATATTACCACCATATGGATTTCTGAGTAGTTTGGATAACTTCTAGTTAGAAACTCTATATCATCACCTCCAAGAATGTTAGTGTTATTAGAAGTTGAAACCCTTATTATGCAATCCTCAATAAGCCTATGGTTATCCAATATAATACAAAACATAGGCGTACCAGCTAACAGCCATATAACCCTGCAGCTCTCAACTGGCTACCCACTGAAGCTCAGCAGGGATGAGCCTGGTCAGTACCTGGATATGAGACCCCCTGGGAAGCTATGGTTTCTACTGGAAGTGGTGTACTGTAAGTGGGGCCAGTGGGGTGCACCCACCCTGCGGTCTGTGTGGGTCCTAATTCCCCAGTATAGTGGCAGGGACACTATACTCTAGTGGGCGCTGTCTTTCGGATGAGATTTTAAACCAAGGTCCTGTCTCTCAATGGTCATTAAAGATTTCTTGATAAGAGTAAGGAGTTATCCCAGCCACATTTCCCCCCTCAGCCTTTACCATGGCCTCCAAATTGTCCCCATGTCTGATTGGCTTGCTCTTGCCCTGCGATGGACTTGAGCCCCATCCAGGGTGTACCCTGCCTTGCGCTCGTTGCTTGCTTGATAGGTTCCGGCTTCCCACGACACCATATGGTATAAAGGGTTTTGGCAAATGACATGACATAAGCACACCACTGATTGATGTGTTTTTCTTGTGATGTTATTACAAACATTATTTTGAAATTTTCAAAAACAGTATTGCATCCAAGCATGTTAAAAAAATTAAGGTCAGCATTTTTACAATTCAGTTCTGAGAACTAATGCATATTCAGCTTGAAATACTAGGAAACAAACATAACATAACATAAAGGATAACCTTTGTAATCGATAGGCTTGAAAAGTGTGTAGTGAGTAGACTGTGAATATCTCAAAATGTTTATCTGTGATGTACACGAAGCTAAAGCTCATCCCATATACAGTATATATTCTGAAATATATTTAAAATTTGTGTATTAGCTCATTTTCAATTAATTGCCAAGGTTCCAGAAATATTACAAGTAGGAAATCTGGTATTTTATTAACAATAGTACAGCAAATGAATGATTCTCAAGAACAAAAATATTCAGCATGGTGTGAATCCAATAATATCAATTCAGTCTTGCCAGCACAATTAAAAAACACTTGGTTCTAATGAGATGCGGGACATTAAGCTTCTTAAATGTAAATTTCAGAACTTTATGATGAAATAGATAAATATAATGCAGAAGTTTGCAAATTTGGAGTTAAAACCACATCTTTAGTTTTTACTTTGTGCGTGAAACAAAATGACAATAGCTGAAAATCTTAGGTTTAGCATACTGTCAAAATGCCCATAATTCACTGTCATTTAATCCTAGACCAAGAAGAGTGCTTTTAGGGCCCACCAATGTATTTGGAAATTAACTGTTCAATTAATTGGCATGTGCTATCATAAATGCAGATGGACAGCTCTGAAAACAACAGGTTTTGAGGTTTTCTGCTGCATTGTGCCTACTAGTGTTGATCAGTGTTGTCTTGCCAGCATGACCACAGCGAAGATAGGATAATGAGCTACAGTATCAGCTGAAGAAAGACAAAATAATGTATATTAGCAAATTAGTCTAAAGGTTGAACTACTATACTTATTCAGAACAGGGTTTGTAATTCTGTGCTGGTCTCTCCTTTTGTCCGATTTTAACATCCCATGATGTGGTAGAAATTAGGAACCAGAAGTTAAGGATTAACCTAATAAAAGCACAGGGACCTACTGTATGCTTAACGGTCTGTCAGGATATTGAATCAATATTTCAGAGATACATTCTGTTATTTTAAGCCTTTTTTTAATTCATGACTGTAATTTAAAAGGCTAATTTAAAACAGGAGGGGAAGTAGGGTGTGTTGATATGTACACCAGGCGTGCACTCTAAAGGTCTGAAATATATGATAAATTAGCCTGTCTACGTTAGTGAACAGTTATGTACACATCTTATATTTTTAATACCGCATTAATCGTATTGGTTGCCGTAAGACAGCACGAACAGCTAACTTCACCACTACAGGTACTTTACAGTACGTACTGCACCTTGCACCTTGCACCTCTCGTAACGGATATAGTTCAGCCCATGATAAATATTAGGTCACTTCACTATATATATATAAAAAATGCATTTTATTCTTAACCCTAAATGCAATTTTACAAACACATACAGCAAAATTCAGTTTTACTTTTGAGGAAAAGCTCCTTAGACTCATGTACAAGTGAGCTTTAAAATATATACATTACAAATTACTCTATTCTGGTAGACGTAGCCCATGATGCATGAAGATACCTGGCTGCATATAGGAGAGCAGCCTCTTGCTGTTCGGGCATTCTCGCTGTATTTGACGAAGCCGTGAAGGAAGCGCAGATTTAAACCGCAAACATCCCGAGCAGATCTTCGCAAACGCTGACATTCCCGACATCTTTCCCGATGCGTTGCACACAACTCATAGGGCGTGCTAAGTGGGAAACAGCGTTGTAAAACAGACAGGACCGGAAAGACACAGGCAAGAGCCGAGCAAGTCGAGAATCATGCCGCAGCGGTCTACAATGAAATAGTGCAGTCATATGCTGCCTAGCATTTTAATTCAACCAAATTTCTTCTGGATGTTGTTTTTTTTTTTGGAACTGCAGAATTAAAATGTGGAATATAGTTGAAACTCAATATACTTAAACTGAACCGTATTTCCACCTTTATATAAAGTAATCTATAGATGCACAGCTACTGTACTTTCACAAACTTTAACGTGTACATTCGTGTCTTCCAGAAAAACGTCCTAAATAATTGTTTTAGTTACGGATGTCAGGTATTAATAACACAATGTACAACTTGACTTGCTTAATATTATGAAAATTACACTGGTTCGGGTTTTTTCCATTTGATTTGCGGTGCTCTAAAAAGATGTTAGAATACAGGATAGGGTCTTGGTGCACGTAGGAACCTTTCCTTTCGACGTGAGTTGCAGTGGGATCGTGGACCGTCGGACTTCCTGTTACAGTACAATATGGTGGTTGCTTGATTGTGCTGTTGTTATACGCGTCTTACGTGTACTTTTTTAAGTTTAGGGGTTAATTAGGTCGTTTTAGTCTTGTTTGGAATGTACAGACCGAGTTTCCGACACCCTTCTCCAACCGGCGGCATGGGCCTCAGACCCGGGGTGTTCCGCAGCCCCTCTCCAGGATACGATCACGCTGGAACCTTACAGGCCGGCATGTTGCCTCCTCCTTTCTGGGGGTTTGCTAATGCTGCGTCTCCGTCTTTCAGTCCTAGGCCCGGCCAGTTTTCGGGGAAATCTCCCCAGACTCCGCCGAAGGCATTTTATAGCAATAATGGTAACAGCGGAGGGGGATCGAATGGAGGCAGAGGGAGATTTCATAGTCCTTCCCCGGGTCAGACACCGAGGAGAGGGAGCCCTAGGTACACACCTCCCTACAAAAAATCCCCCTTCCACCCTCAGCACAGTCCCGGACAGCAGGCGGGCTATCAGGTAATAATTGGGGCTTTAAAGCCTTATTTATTTATAAAAAACCGAGAAAAACATTAGTAATATTGAATCTTAATTAAACTAGCGCAGTTGAACTACTAGGTATTTTCTCACGTTTTGCACTACAGCAGTTGAGTCTTTAAAACTGTAAGTTGCGGGTAAAATGGGCTTTACGACATACGTTTATTTAATTTAGCACCTCATTATCAACGAACGTGACGATTCGGTTTGTAACTAGCTATGAATTTAGTTTTTGAAAGATATCTCCTGTTTTTCAACGTGAGAATGTCAAATTTAGGACTGCAAGATTGTCCTTTGTGGTGGTGTGTTTACGTTGGACAATAACTTTTCTGTAATTTGTTAAATCTGTAGTTTATTTCCAATTAATGGGGAGCAGATAGTAAATGAATCCTGAAAAAAGAATGGAATTGTAAGTGGTCATTTTAGTTTGAGGTTATAATCTTTCATTGTGGACATTTTGAAATTGAACAGAATCGAAGTTTAATCATGGTACTTTGTGCCAGAACTACTTTTCTGTTTGTTCACACATTTTTTACATTAGTTTCTCAGCTTTCTGTTGGACATTCCGAAGCTCAAGACAGGCTTACCCCAAAATAATTTATGATTATTAGGCTCTCCATTCAGAGTGACCAGTTGATTAGCATGTTTTCAGGAACCAACAGGATGTAGTTGCCACCAACACATGTAATAAAGTACACAATAAACAGTCAAATGAAAGTGTAGATGTAGTTTTGAATATGCCTATAACTGGGACAGCGTCTTAAAACTTGCCTGGATGACAGGCTGCTAAGGTCCAAGTTTGTGGTATTGAACAAACAAGTTTTGTTTTCCCAAATGTTGTAGTGAAATGTTTTGTAAGGTCATGCTGAGTTTTGCAGAATCATTTCCATAATGACAAATTTAAATGCTCACCCATGAGTGCCTTACAGATATTTTGGCACTTCGATGCTGTTTGATACGGTTTTTGAAAGTGCTGGAAAGTTAAATCTCAGCCATCCCATTACACAGCGGGGCGATCTTTTTCTGTGGTTCCCATGTTAGTAATCGGTAGGCACATGATAGTCGATGTCTATTAGCTCATTTTGAGTAAATGTAGACAGATGGGTAGATTTCAGTTTAAATGTATTGTTTTTTTTTGCTTCACTGCAACTCACAGGAGTCTTGTCTATTCCTCTACACCAGCGGTTCCCATCCCTGGTCCTCAGGGATCCCTGTGCCTTCTGCTTTTTGTCCAAGTCAGCTTCTTAATTTCAGGGTTTTCTGTTTGTGGTGTGTTTTTTTTCCAATTACTTTCAGTTCTACAGACTTTGAATGAGATTGTAATAGTCCCTATGCCAGTTTCTGAGTGTCAGAGCTCCTCTCGTTCAGCTATTCAGTTATTCCCAGCAAATGATCATCTAAGAGCTGTTTTGACAAAAAGTAAGGCATCAGACTCTTTAAGTTGAGAAGAGGCTGCTTAAAGTATTTTATGCTGAAGTAGGTTTTTTCTTACACCATGGAATGAAATCAGAAACAGGTAACTGACAGTCTGACCAAGCAAGCAGATAAAGGCTTTAGTTAGGCCTAATATAGGCGATTACCTTTGCTCCAAAGAAACCAGCAGACACAGGGGTGCCCTTGGACCAGAGATAAGGACCACTGCTGTACTCCATTTAGTATTGCCTTATTATTAATAGCTAACAAAAGAGAACAGTAACAGTATAAATCAGCAATTGAGAAAAGCTATCCAAAAGCAGTTACAGGGTTGTTCAGTCAGAAAGTACAGCTCTGCAGTTCTTCTACTTTCCCAATAAAGGGTGCCCATTATTGACACTGCAGATAATTGAAAGATGTGGAGATTCCCAACATATAATGGCACGAAAGGAATAAAACAATCTAGAAGATTGTACTGATTTAAGAAAGCTATTGGTTGTTATTGACAGAATTTCATTAAAAAGAATTGTTAAATTTGAAACAAAATACCACAAGTTTGCTAAAATGGAGCTCAAACAGAATATTTTTCTATTGTAATATGTTCTTTTTAAACTGCAAGTCGTAATGGCTTGAAAGAACATTAAATTGGGGGCTGGGAGCGTCATCAGAAATGTGTTTTAAGGGGGCTTTGTAAAGTGGTGGTGGTAAAATATGACCCCTGTTCATGGGGAGAGGGGGTTGCATATTACATTAGTTAGATATGTGTGATTTATGCTACATACGGAATCTTTAGTAGTGCCATAAAGTCTAATGAATAAATAAGGGCATCATTCAGCAAATTATTCATTTAATTTTTCAGGCTTTATAGTTCACTCAAAAGCTTGTGGGTCATTTAATGAGTAAAAGGACATCGTCCCTTTTTAGCACACTACCATTTCAGATTTTAAAGAACTAGGCTAGTATTTTTATTAGTAGACAGATTTCAAACTGCAGCTCGGTGAGTTAGAAGTTATTGGGGGTGCACAGTTTTCCAATGAGCAGGCATAGTGGTACTGTATTCCAGTTGAGCTCTCAGGATCCATTTAATCTAAAGCCAAAGTCACTTCTCAGTATACCAGTCTCCCTTCTGGTTATTGCACAGAGCCCTATCGTGATTAAGCTAATTATTTCCTTAAACCTTTTAAATTGTTTTTGTTAAACACTCTGTTTCTGAGTGACTAATACATTTTATAGCTAACTTAGAATCTTTAAAATGTTTAAGACAAAAAAGTTTAAAACGCATTGGTTCAATTAAGAGTTTAAGAAGGTGGTTAAGAGCTCAGCTGTAATAAAAGCCAAAAGAAGACTGTGAGCTGGCTTTGAGAAGCACCAAAAAAGCAAGTTTTTAGGAAATATTACATGCTTCTGATGTTAAGATTTGAAGTTGTAGATATCAGAATGAGAATCAGAGCGAAGATGGTAACTAAAGCTTTAAATTGTTATTACTGTAAAAATAATTAGAAACATATATCACTCTGAGGTTTTATGCATGCTGAATAATCCAACTGTTTCTGCCACATCAGCTTCAGTGAAACACTTACACAGAACATCCTCAGTGCATAGAATGCATCAAGAAAAAAAACATTCACATTTTATTTATGGAGCGCCATTGCATTTCTTGTTGCTGTGAGCTTTCGTAACAATCAAAATCAATAAAATAATTTCTCTCGCAGAAATACGAGGAGCTGATAGGCCGAGCGGCCTGTGTTATCATACATTTTTAGGTACTTAGGATCTTAACTTTCCTTGACAGAAAAGTCATTCTGAAAGTTGGAAGGAAACCCAATGTTAAAGGTTTGAGATTATAAGCCTGCATGAATTTGTAGGAATAAGCATTTGTCACCCTTCTTGTTCAACAATCCAAGCCAAAACTTCACCAATCAATCTTCTTTTAAACTCATTACATTTGTTTGTACAGTGTACACTTCATGCAGTCAGTTCAGACATGATGCACTTGAAAAGTTGTCCAAAGCTCATTTTAAAATACTATCACCTATAGTATGTTAAATACTACATAGTCTAGATGTACTGTAGGACAATTATTTCATTTAAGATAATCTAAACAGAAGTCAGTTAGATTTCTTAATGGCCTTGTCCTTATTAATTTCCTGTACCTAAATTTCATCTGAATATCACAAGCAAAAGATTGCAAGACAGAGTTAACAACAGGGGCTGATGGAAAAACTGATGTTAACTCCTTGTCCAGTCTTTTCTTCATCTTCATCTAAACTAGATAAAAGTGCAAATTAAGAGGAGGAGATACTAAAGAAATTGGGGTGACAGCCATGCTGTTAAACAGATTCTTTGGGAAGCTTCAAGAAAACAGCTGGTTTCAAACCCTTTCATCATTAAGATACCAGCAATAAGTAAGCTATGTGGTTTGAATTGCCACCACTTTTGGTCAGCATAGCATGTACTGATTTTCCTGCAGTTTTAGTAAGGATTTATTGTAAGTATCCCCTTAGCGTCTGTTCAAATAGCTCCCTACAATGTAATAACCAACCCCTACTTATCCTTTATAGCATCCCAAAAATCTAAATTACATTCCTTCTCAAATACTTTACCCAGTGAGGTCCAGATTCCCAAAGTGAAATCTTCCTCTCATCAGAAATAAAGCATGCTGATGCAGCAGAAACAGTAAGGATGTTCATTATGAATGAAATCTCTCGCTTTTGTTCACCATTTTAATTTTGCTTGGTCTCTGAAGCTTGAACATATCCTTCAGTTACTGTTAATAGGCAGGGAATTTTGAGACTTTCCGTGTTATAGTGTTGGGTTAAAGGTCATTCACCCTTCATTAATCAGTTGCAAACAGTATTTTTACAAGTGGATTATAAGAGGTATTCGTTTTTAATATCGCAGCCTGCTCAAAGATCCCTTCTATAACGTGAAGTGTTGACCAAGCTGCAGTTTGAATGTTTAGGATTTTCCATTAAAACCTTTTTAAAAAATGCAATTTTTTAAAACAAATGTGTCAATGGAATATAACCCTTTTATATTGAGTCTTGGGATTTTCTCTTTTATTCTTCGAAGTTTGTTTAAATTGCTGCATTTTGAAGGGAGTGGATTCTATGCCACTTGCAGTGTAAGCAACTTGGAAAGAAGTTTTCATGCAGTAGCAAAACCCTATGGTCATACATAATAGAATAAATCTTACCGAAACCTTTATTTGTAGTACTTAATGCTTTATATGAGTGTGAAAATGATAGCACTTAAAGAAATGTTACATCACATCTATAGGGTATTTAATTTAAGATGATTTGACATTATTCTGTATGTTTGGGCATTAGATTAATAATTGCAAAGCTCTGAACTTGGAACTATGTGCTTAATTCTCTAGAGATGCTTTTTTAAACTATACATATTTATAACCTTAAATGAATAAACGGCTAACAAAAGCTGACGTAGGCCTAGCTGTCGTCTTTTGAAATCAGTTTCAATTGATTAAAATGTTTCTTCACATGATGATTTTCTCCCGAAGGGTTCACCCAGGACATCCACACCGTTTGGTTCTGCGCATGGCAGGGAGAGGGTGGCTAATGATGTGGAAAAGTATTACAGACCGTCAATGCTTGAGGACCCCTGGGCTAGCCTACAGCCAGTTACTGTCACTGACACAAACCCGAAGTACAACACAGAGAGAGCATCAAACACTGGTAGAAAAGGGAGGTATTTCAGTTAATATACAGACCCCTTTTTTATTGTGGCAGAGCAAGTTAAGAAGCAGCATCGTTTCCTTTTTTTTAAAGAGATTTACTTCAAAAATGCACTGTTTCGACGCAGCAAATGAACATTCGTTGTTTTTTTTTCTTTTTTAAAAAAAAAAACCTGCTTTGGGTATTTGCCAAAGGGAGTAAGTATGTGGTGTTGGGATAATTCTTAAAAACTGCCTTCCAGTACATCTGACTGAAGTATTCCTGAATCACCAGCAATCAGTCTATGACTGTTAATGCAGCAGCTCTTTCTACACAGTACCTCTCTTTTGCATACAAACAGGATAAATGCCTGGTTTTTACTCAAAACTGTTTGACCCCTTAACAGGCTGGCTGAAACAACTTTGACCGGCAACAGATTTTGCAGAAATAAAGGTCATAAATAATAACCCATCTTTGAATTGTTCTTATCATATGAATTGAAAACACGAATTGGGATACATTTTCAATAATATCATCGACTTGATCGCTGTTAACACAAAGAAGCAAAACATTGGTTGTAAGAGTTTTTCCTTGAGAGATTTTATAATTTTGTCAGTAAACCAACTGACAAGCTTAAATGATGTATGTAGCTACAGTGCCCAGTGATGGGCATATTGGGTTCATTATTTATCATTGTTTCTTTCTGTTTAATTCTGGCGTCCAGATTACATTTATTTTAAATTTAATCCATAAATATCTGGCACCAGACTCTGTTAAAGGGTTAAACATTTTATTTTGTTACTGAATGTTTTTGGGGAAAAAAAAAATAAAAAAGAACTCTAATGGATGTTTGTACAACTTTGATCGTTTCTAAAATTGTGTATCGCAAATGACAAGACAGCTTTGTGACCGTTTGTCACAGAAGCATTGTAAATAAGGACATCCCTTAAAGAACGTTGTTGAACTGGTCTAATCTGCAGTACGTTCGTAAATATTTCATGTGTGTTAAGAAAAGGAATCAACCATTTACCTAATTTTTTGTAACCCCCTCAGGTTTTTCTATTTGTAAATATTTTAAGAAAAGGATTGAAAACTAGAAATTGAGTCAAATCTTCTGTATTCTTTTTCTTTTAACCATCTGAGTAAAAAAAAGAATATTGCTGTAGAGCATATAAATGTATGTCAGCATATTTTGTTTTATATGTAGAGGTTTTGTGTGGATTCTTGTGTTTCGGCAGTTTGAGGACTTGAATTATGAATGACTAACCAAGAGTTAGTTCTTATAGGGGAAAATTCTCATTCAAGGCTTCAAAGTGGTCTGGCACACGATTCCACACTATTCTTATCACTTTCCTTTTATATATATATTTTTAAATCAAACTGTATCATCATGGACTGTTGTTTGTTACCCTCGTTTGCCGTCGAGATGTGATGTTCAGTAAACATTGTTTTTCAAAAAGGTCTGAAACTGCAAGGCAACAGCTGTTGCCATAAAGCAGACCTTTTCAAAGACAGACAGTGGCTCCTTGTATTTTGTTGAAGTAAAGCAGGAGGTTGGGGAGGACAAGCTCAGTGCTGATTTTGGAGTGAAGCAATGTGATTTTCAAGTAAAAACGCAGTGATCTCTGTTTTCATTACATTTGCTCTTTAAGTTATTAACAGAGAGGCCTTTACGTGGTGTGAAATTTATATTAATCTTTCACATTCAAGAGTGGTCATTGTGCTTTTGGTTTTACCTAGAAGGATATTGAATACGATCGGTGACCAGAGTTGTCATCAACAAAATGTATGTAATCCTAATGGAAATTTCTAGAAAATTCTCATAATAGGTTTTAAAATCAGCTTAAAGAAAACAATCTTTTCTAGCAAGAGTTCTGTCTTTGTGGTGGAGAAAAAGTTGCAAGGAACTTTCTTTAAACCATGTTTTTATAGTTAATTGTTGCGGATGTCTGTCGGGTGGACTTTTAATTGGCATTAATTGGTATAGGAAATAAATTATCCTCCCCATATAAAGAAAATCTGATTTTCTGCTTAAGGCCTTCACAAAGTTAACACAGTTCTTAACATTGTGTTGTTTGAACTCATTGACAATGATATACTGTAGTCGTTCGATGCTGAAATCTTATATATTAAAAATGTATACCTACAAGGTGGAATTTGCTAAGGTTCTACATTATATTGAAATCTAAAACATTTTCTAGACATTTCTAGACAGTCATTTCTTCATTAGGTGTAAGGATTGTGGATTTAGCATTTTCAGACTTATAAGTACATGCTAAATAACTATAGAAATATATTTGATTTTGATTTGGAAACAAATGGGTTCTTCATCCACAAAGACAAAATGTTTGACAACTCTCCGCTGTATTAGTAATAGTTCTGTTTCCAACCAGTTATGCCATTTGATTTCCAGAGCAGTATCTGTAATTTAATGAATCTAGTTACTTTGCGTTTATGATATAATTACTAAGGATATTATTACTATTATTGTTCAGCATATAAAATACTTAACAGATGTGCATGTTTTCCTTTACTCTGTAAAGGTTCCTTTGTGCTGCTGATGTGACCTTTGGAAAGATGTACCTGTCTTTCACTTACAAAAACACCCTAGATCTAATCCTACAATATACACTGCCTTTTTGAAGATGCAACAATTAGGGATATTTTTAGAATGAATTACCTAAGCACTTTGGAATATACCATTGGTTTTTTTTTCAATCCAAATGACTGAAATATGAAGTGGTGAATGTATTATATTTGCTTCCAAGTGTATGGATTTATTCTTCCTTTGTTTATCTAGCTGCATATTAAGTTTGCCATTTGTTATGTCCAACCCAAACAAATAGGATGGGCCAAATGGCCTCATCTCGTTTGAATCCTTTTTTATGTTCCTTACATATTCAGAATAGTGTTAGCAATGTCCATGTCCGTGCTCTTGCTATTTTAAACAAGTGCACTGTGCATCACAAATGTGTAAAACAAACTCATGATACTGCAGAAAACACTTTTAACGGGTCATTATTTTTATGAGGTAAAATGCCATCACACTTGAGCAGACTTTTAACACAGCAGTCATTTTAATAAAGTTAAAAATTAGGTTCATCACGTGACTCAATACTGTATGTAGCAAAATCTTTTTTTAACATGTTCTGCAAACAAAAGTTTCAAAATTACCCATAATGACAACAGAAGTTAATTGATGCATACGTATAAAACAAGACTGTGTCTAAAAGCATGTTTGCTGTTGGAAGAGGCTTTTATGGTAAGTGGTTTAATTTTTTTCCCCGCTATACTATACATCATGCTAAGTACTTCCACAAGCTTTACCAATACCCTGTGTATCTTGTAGGAACATCTTTGCATTTTAGGACTTAGTCTGAAAAGCCACATTTTTAGGTAATCATGGTGCAGATTTTTATTGTGAAATACTACTCTGTTTAACAGACACAAAAGAACAATGAAAAAAAGAAGAGGACTAGATTGCATTTTGAGATTAACATTCTTAACACCTATCTTTGGTAGAAAAGTAACCAAGGTTAAAAGAAAGACATTACAAAAATTAATGAGAATGTCTTATTTTACACTAAACTAAATGTCAGAAGTATTATTCTTTTTTACCAGCAAGCACAAAAGAGGGAGCTTTAAAGCAAATGTAGCATTTTTATGTTTAATTTTTTATATGTAAAATAAGGGTTTTTGCTAGAACAGACATACAGACTTAATTAAGTTCAAAGAGCCTGATATTAGCAGAGCAGATTACACACTAGTAAACCAATGTATGTTTTAAGATTGTGTATAATATAATATATCAATAAGAGAACTTATGACTTGCTTCATAGGTTTGAGTGTTGTATTTATGTTGATGCGATATAGTAGATTTTAGTAGTATTTGGAGCAATGCTGTCACAACAGAGCCAAAGCAGTATTTAGGAAGATTGAGCTGCTGGTAACAGATTTCGAATCCTAGGGATCAGTCCGTCTTTATTTCTCCTGTCATAACTTGCTTTTAAGGGTCTAGAATTTTAAATAGTTCTTTTGTCAGGTATCTGCCTCCCTTTCAAAACAACAGAATGTGCATAGCATTCAAATCTCTCTGTTTTTGGTTTTACTTGAGCAACTTACCCAACCAGTCCAAAGTGCAACCCTACTGCCCCATCTGGGGAGCTATGGTAAGAGGATTCAGGTTGAAGCGGTAACAGGTGGAATCTAGTTATCCTCTCTGTTCCATGCTTAAAGATCAAAAGAAGGAAAGCAGGTGAGTTTTCCCGAGAACTCCCTTCATCAGGAAATACACTAGGCCATTATGCTTTCACGCCTCGATTCTCTACAGTTTAGTACATTTTGTTGCACAATTTCAGCTTCACTCCAACTAAAGTCACTGTCTACCAGCTCAGAAGTGGTGTAAGATTTTGGAGTTGAGCTCGGAAAGAGGTAAGAAAAGGCAGTGGTGTAAAGGAATGGAAAGATGTGAAAATTGAACTGTATTATGTAATTTATGAGTGTTACTGTATAGTGTGTTCATGGTAAATATTTTTTGAATAGTGTTTTCAAAAATGTTAATTACAAGATCACTTTATTAGCCGTATACAATTTCATGCATTAGAAATTCGTCTTTTTACATACCCCAGCTTGCTCTCTATGAGACGCACAGACAGGGAGAGAGAAGCTTGGGGTCAGAGCGCAGGGTCAGCTATTGTACAGCGTCCCTGGCGTAGTGGGGGTTAAGGGCCTTGCTCAGGGGCCCAACAGAGTAGGATTCCTCTGCCGGCCACGGGATTCGAACCAGCAACCTTCCAGCCACAGGCGCAGAGCCACCACTCTGCCCCTTACAGACATGTTGAAACATAATCTTAATCATAAGATGGGAGCCCAGGTTTTAAGATAATTTTCCCCATTTTATATCTGACCTTCCTCAACAAGAATTGACAAATTTCATTATATACCAGTTTTGTCATCTTGTCATAGAGAAGTAGTTCCCAATCCTGTGCCTGGTGACTCCAACACCTGTTTTTTAAGTTATTCCACCCTCAGCTACACAAACAAACCTTCACTGACTTAATAATAATCAAGATTAATTTGATGTAAGCTCTTAAACATGGTGGAGCTTTAACCGTTATATTTTGTAAGTGAAAGAAAATCTAGGCATGTGACTAGAAACAAAAGGCAAATATTCAATTAAAGCAACTTCTTAGATTAAGTAAGCCTTCGGTTATCTAAGGTAGGTCACCAGAACCAGAATTGAGAACAAGAAAAAAGCAGAAAATTTTACTTTCATAATACTAGGGCTGTGGTATTTCCTATATGGCAACTTAAAACCTGTGCTTTCAATTTATTTATTTTTTTTTGGGGGGGGGTTGGAAGTTCATACCAATCTAGAAAGATTTTTTAGTGTTTGTCAGAAGAGTGCAAAAATGCCATTTAATTTCAGCACTTACGCATTGTGGTTGTTGGAATTTGTTATTGACATTTCAAGAGTTTGAAAGGTCTTTTCCAAAGGTTTTAAATGTTAAAACATATTCTAGATATTCTCTATTTTGTTGCCTAGATGCATCATAATTCAGCATTGGGATTCATTATATTGAAAAAATGTTAATGTTCCACAACTTTGAATTGAATTACATTAAAATTGTCCTTCGTGCTGCTCAGGTAAGCTTCAAGTTCAGGATCAGTGCACATGTACAAAATGTGCCTTACCTCTTGCAATATCTTTAGTTTATCCTATTTTGTTTAGGTTAATATTTTTAATACCACAAGGTCATGGGAGAAGTGAATGGAAAGGTTGGTAAAGTAAAGTGTAGCTAGAAGTAGTTGTCTTTTTAGCTTAAAATCATCACTATTGGCATTGATTTAATTTTGTACAATTTTCAAGACATTTCTGAATGAAAAACTGGTATTCACAACTTTCAAAAATGGCTTTTTTTCTTATTTTAAGTTAATTTTCAGCTACTTTATATAAAGAAATAAGGTAATACCGTTTACACACTTCAGATGTGTATGTCTGTTGAATTGTGCAGTGTTAAGTATGTCGAACTAAAATATTCACAGTATTTATTGGCCTACATTGCCATCTGCTGGCTTAATGACATGAGCATTCCTAATTGAGGTAAGCGCTTAAAATAGACGTAACAGTTGTCATTTGAAATTATAAACTCTCAAGATGTAGAACTCCAACTTCTGTTCTCTACTTTTAAACTTCTGTACAATGGGGGGTGTTTGGCTTAGTTAGCATTTAATATTTTTCAAAAGATAAAGCTTAAAAAGACACTTGATTCAAAGTACAGAAACTTTAACTGTTTATTGAAGTCTGAAAACTTTTTTTAACAGAGTTAGACCAAGATAGGACAAGTGGAATTAAAGAAGGAATACTCCTTAGCCTTTCAGAAACTGTCTCTCCAGATCTAAAAACTTGATCAGTGAGATTTTACAGTACAGTTGGCCAATGTATTGGCATGTTAATCCCAGTTCATTGCAGGAAGTGTAGAGTAACACTTGATCTGCTCGGCAGAGTGTTGTTTTTTTTGAAGGATTAAATTAGTGTTCCTGTAATAATAGACAGATGCTTCACAAAAAGTTAATATGACACAGTATGATGTGATTATAAATTAAAAAATATAATTATAAATGTAAAAGAGAAAAGTGATTGCATAAGTATTCACTCCCTTTTACTATGACGCATCTAAATAGACTCTGGTGCAACCAAATGTCTTTAGATGTCACGTAATATGTTGAATGGTGCCCACCTGTGTGCAATTAGGATGTTTTTACATGAGTTCATCATCTCTCATAGGTCCCGTAATTGATTACGGCTCCCAGCAAAAATTACATCATGAAGACAAAGGAACTTTCAAAGTTAATCTGTGATATGGTTATTGAAAAGAAGGGAAGGGCTATAAGAAAATTTCCAAGGCATTACATATCTCCCAAAGCACAATAAAGCTAATTATAAAGAAATGTAGAAAATATGGCACAACTGTGAAATTCTGAAGAACAAGGTACCCTCAAAAATTGAATTTCCAGGCAAGAAGTGCTCTAGTCAGGAAGGCCACCAAGAGGCCTGTGAAAACTCTTAAGGATTTACAGTCTTTCATGCCTGAGAATAGAGAAACTATATATGATAATTGCCTGGGTGCCTCACAAATTTGGGAGAGTCACAAAACTCATATCAGATCTTGACTATACTTTGCCAGAAAGCACATGGGAGACTTTGAGACCAAGTTGAAGACGATTCTATGGTCTGATAAGTAAGAACTTGACCTTTAAGCCTCAAAGGTAAGCGGTGTGTTTGGTGCAAGTTAACAGTGAACACAATCCTGAGAACACCATCCCTACGGTAAAGCTTGGTGGTGGCGGCAGTATCATGCTAGGAGAAAGCTTCGCTGCATCAGGGCCTGGAAGACTTGTGAAGACAAGAAACAATTGACGCAGCAAAGTACGGAGAAAACCTGCTGTGGTCTGCAAGAGACATGGGACTTGGGAGAAAACTTTTCCTCCAGTAGGACAATGACGCAGAAAAAAATCAATGTTCTGGAGAGGCCCGTCAAAGCCGAGGCCTCAACCCAATCAAGAATTGGTGGCAGGAGTGGAAACTTGCTGTTCATAAACCTGAAGGAGTCTGAGTAATTTTCCAAAGAAGAATGGGCAAAAACTGCTGTCTCCAAATGTGCAAAGCTGGTAGAAATGTACCCAAGAAAACACTCTAATTTTTCCCAAAGGTGCCTTTACCACGTATTGACTCAAATGGGGTGAATACTTATTCAATCTGTTATATTCAGTTCTAAATTCATAATGAATTTAGGAGGATCTATTGATTTTTTTCACTTTGACACTTTGGGGTTTTTGCCATTGAAAGAAACCACTCTACAGTTAAATGCATTCTGATTCCATATTGAAACACTTTAATAAAATGTAGAAATAGGTCTGGGGGGGGAGTGAATACTTTGGATAGCCACTGCATGTTTTACAGGACTTAGCTCGGTGACCATGTAGTAAAGGTATAACCTACTCATCTCCCAAGAAAGGCAATATGAGCGGCGTGAGGTCATGCCAGGATGAAGGGCAGCAAATGAGGCTCTAGGATTTGATCAACGTAGTACTGTGATGAGTCTACCAGAGGTGTTGCTCTTGCACGGCAGTTGCACAATGATGATGTTCTCTTGATAAAGAAAGTGGGGTGTGTTTTTTTCTTAATTGATTTTCACTAATTTTGATATTGAACAGGTAAAATCACTTCATTGTATGTGTTTAATCACAAATTAGGAGAAATATATGCTTATGAAAATAGTCACTTTAGTGCAACATAGTCAGTCTTAATGAACCTTCAATCAGTAGCCACCATCGCTAGTTTTTCTAAATGATATGGTTTTTTTGATACTCGACATATTATTTGAAATGGAAGTGCTCATTATTTTTCGTTTGCTTAATCTGTCAAACACGGAAAGATGGAAATCCTGTTTTACAAAAGAACCTGAACAGAGGTCAATTAAGCATACCCATGTTATAAATGTACAAATCTGCTCATCTCACAGTTTTATCCATTGTAGCAATCGAAGGAGAGCTGGAGCCTGTCTCAGCGAGCAATGAATGCAAGGCAGGATACACCTGGGATGGGCATCCAGTCCATTGCAGGGCTCACACTCACACCGAGGACCACATTTTCCAGAAGCCAATTAACCTACCAGAATGTATTTGGACAGTGAGAGGCAACCCACTTGAACAAAGGATAGAACGTGCAACCTTCGTGCAGATAGCACCCCAGGAATTGAACATTTTCAATCTGCTATCCAGCCAAGTATACCGGCACGCCAGTCATACGACAACGATTAAAGCAGAGGGAAAAATTCACAATGAATGGCAATTCTAACCTACCTTTGATTTTAGTTATTTGGCCTTGCATTCATTGCTTGTCAGGACAGGCTCCAGCTCTCCTTCAATCCTGCAATTGATAAAGCAGTTAGAAATTGGATAGAAGTCTTCAATTGCCATTAATCATATGCTGTGCTTAAGAAACAAATGCCACTTGAGCATGGCTTTAAGCGTGTGCACAAGGAAAGTTTACAGTTCTAGTTGAACAAAAAGAAGTGCACTTCCTAAAGATGGTGTTATTATTATCATTCATGGTAGCTACTACTGCTTTAAGGGAGAGTACAGTATGTATAGTAAGTGGCAGCCAGTGTTAAATCTCTTTTGAAATACTTCTGATGCACAAAATAACTTCAAGTACATGCAATTGTGCCATAACGGGATTAATTATGTATTAATATGAAATGGTAACATTTTATACTGGCATTAGCAGTCTTGTTAAAAAGGATGTTAAATGGAATGAAACATTCCTTCAGCACAGTATTCTCAATCACCCATACAAATCTTCTATCGTGTTCGATTTAACATCACATGGGGGTAAAAGTAAGTGTGTTAATCACAGGTGTTCACATGGAAAAAGCCAACTGTAGTCACATAAACTGTTGATGATTGAAGATGGATCCTCCTATTGCTAGGTAATGTTTAGGCTGTCTCTGGCATTTGATAGACTTTGTAATGTCTAAGCTAACAATAATAAAGGTCCCATAAAAAAATAAGTGGTGTAATTTAACAGCCACTCACTTTAGGAATATTAGTTTAAGGTTAAAACCATAGTAAAATACTTTTGCGCTCAATCACTAAGGTTTTTACACAGCCAGGTGACATACATGGGTTTTATGTAGATCTTGGAAAACGGCAAGGTAGTTAATTTAAATTTCATACAGTGCTCTTCATACCGAACAAACCCTAAATACCTTACGTTAACTTTTTCCACCACTGATGTGCAGTACTCACCCAGATGATGCATGGCTGCGATCAAGCAGTATACCCACCAAACAGACCAGGTAAAGCAGGTAAATAAGACCAGAATTACTGCACCAATGCTGTAATTGCAGGGAGACCAGGTTGTACCAGCCTCAAGTAGAATTTAGCCAGGACACCAGAGTTAACATCGCTACTCCAATGAACAGTGAAATAAGATCTTTAATGTCTCTTTTGAAAGACAGCACCTCCTACAAGCACAGAGGCACCTATAAGCATACTGGGGTGTTATTCTGGAAATTCTGCCCCACAAAAAAAAAAAGGTTTGTCACCTATCCCTTATAGGAACAAACAGGCGTTTCTAAGAGCACCATCTACCAGCTCTAGATCTTCTGTCCTCCGTTTATCATTTCATCAGACCTTTCTTAGTTTGGCTCATCAAGCCCTTGAACCGAACTGAGCCCTTGTAGTCTTAACACCATTTCAGTTCTTCAATAGAAAATTAGCAACAAACCCATATCAGATACTAGGTCTAAAGTCCCCTCTCCTTTGCATCAATGATTTGGGTAAATTCCAACTAACGGGATCATACCACCTATGACTGCACGTCATTAATTGATAAATTGATAGCATACAATATTTGTTGAAAACAGATTTATGAGACTAAGTCATGACTGTTGGACCCAATCAAATGGTTCAATTAAGGGTTTAATAAGAAACTGCTTAAAAATGGAATGAAAACCTGAAGACACTTGTCCCCCAGGTCCCTTAGAGAGCTGCCACTCCAGTATTGATGAGGCTCAGCTTTGCTTAGCTTTTGAGATCTGCCAGGATCAGACTACATGCTGATAACACTGTTGATATATGAAACACTGTAGGACAGTTTTCTGATCGCTGTGACCCTTCTGTCCCTTGGGTATTATTCCAGCCGAGCTTCAGCTCTTAGTCTAAAATATCTACTTGATTTATTCCAAGAAACATTATGGGGAGTACTAATGCTCCTCTATAGCTTTCTTAACGAGTCTTAATTTTTTTAGGTCCATAAATAAAGACACTTGGCGTATTCATTTTCAATCACCAGAAGAGCACTGACAGTTCAAACCCAAAAGTGTACAAAGTTGACGTCGTATGCAGACCAATGTATCCAGTATCTTTAAGAATTATTTTCTTAGCTGAATGCAAAACATAGTTGGTCCAAAATTATATTATCTTTCAATGCACACACATATGATGTGCAGTATAATGTACACACAGGTGGGAATAACACAGCCAACACTTCACTCTTCTTTTTCTTTTAAAAACGTTACTTGTGTTTCCAGTTATCAAGTCATTATTTGTTCTCATCTGTATTCATTCAGTAGAATTTGTTATCCAACAGGACTTGGTAATTACTTAGTAACACACAGTGAGAGGCACAATCAAGGCTTAAACTGGGAGCTTCATGGTAACAGTCCTTGTCCTTAACCACTCAGAAACCCAGGCTCTTAGACCGCAGGTAGCATCAGACAGAGAGCAGCACACCAAGACGCATCTTAGCTGTGAATGCAAGCTGTCATCTTAGAAATGAAGGCAACCAACTGGTTAAGAGCATAATTTAAAGAACAAGTAAAAGAAAAGTCACAGGCAGATAACATCTTTTTTTTATATAAATGCTTGATCTTTAAATTTCTCCCATTCTCAAAAACAACTAATTTCAGTGATGACTTTTACAAACATGATTTCTGTGGATATTACACATAGACTAATATTAGTATTGTAATAGCATCCATATGCTTAATCTGCAATGGCTTTTGACATACATTGATTATACAATTTTATTTCTGAGCACGTTCCAAGAATGAAGTAAAAGTTAGCAACCAAAGACCATTTTTTTTATTTGTATTTCTTTAATAAACATTACCGGAAAATTTCAAAGTACAAAAAGTTTTTCTTGCTTTCTTACACTTGGGTAAAATGTCTCAACTAATTTGATTTTCAGAAGGGTAAGCGACCGAATTACATACAGAACAGAGCTTCTGTAATTTTTTAAGTCCATAAATAAAGACACTTGGCGTACTAGTTTTCAGTCACCAGAAGAGCACTGAGAGTCAGTTCAAACCCAAAAGTGACCTTCCTGTACAAAGTCGACGTCGTATGCAGACCAACGTATCCAGTGTCTTTAAGAATTATTTTCTTAGCTGAATGTAAAACATACTGTAGTTGGTCCAAAATTATATTATCTTTCAATGTGTGCACAAGGAGCTCCTTGGCCTTTACCTAACAGGTTTGCTGAATTGTTCAGCAATTTAAAAAACATTAATACTATTCTGTCTAAAGCCATTTAAAAAAAAAAAGCTAAAGTACAGATAAAAATTATAACCTGGCTTGGTAAATGTACACAAAAAAAACCCTTAATTTAAAAGACAGCAGTAGAATAGATTACAAACAATACGAAATGGTAAGAGCAACCCACCCTCCCTAACCCCAGTTTGTTTTACTTTCAAAATACAAAAAAAAATCCTTCTTTAGAATATTTGTTTTAAATCAAGTCTGTTAACTGCAAAGTCAAATCCTGAGAGGGTTTATTTGTATTTCATTTGCATCCATCCCGGAGGTTCAGTATGGTAACCCCCTGCCTCTCAGAGTGGATGTGTTCATGTGCGGTCTGTAGCCTTGGGCGTAGGCCTGAGAGGGGGAGCCCCAGGCCTGGGGTTGTGGGGGTCCCCCAGCCGTCATGCTGTCCTGTCTGCTGAGGCTGTGGTTGTAGCTGTGAAAGTTGCCTGGCAGGGACATACCTCCCCCATGAGCGCTCTCAGGATGGCCGCCACCGGCGTTGCTGTTGGCCAGCATAGGCAGCGGGCTGTGGTTGTACTCGAACCGGTGGTCCTTATCCCCACTGAACAGCATCCCGGCTGCCCCCCGGCCCGAAAAGCTGCTTCCGCCGCCCCCGCTGTCCCCGTAACCCAGGGAACTCGGGAAAGGCTCCTGGTAGCCGGGAGTCAGCGGGCGCCCGCCGCTGCCCGAGTGAGGGGCGGCGGCTCCGCCGCTAAACATTTCCCTCAGCGAGTGCGACGGCAAGCCTCCGCCTAGGCCGCTCAAGAAGCTGGCCCTCTCGCCACCGCCCAGGTAGCTGCTGCCGTAGCCCTCGGGGGGGTAAACGCCAGAAGAGAAGGGGGGCACGGGCCCGTAGCCGTCTCTGTAATCGCTGCCTCCTGCGTGGTAGGGGCCCTCGGGCTGGTACTCCGGCTCGGGGCCGCTGCTCTGGCTCAGGAGCTGCAGCAGGGCGGCTTTCACTCCGCCGTGGGCATCCGAGGCCGGGGGCCTCTCCGCGCGGTAGTCCAGGTCCTCGCTCGCCGGCGGGGGGGGCTCGGGGGGCTCGGGGGGCCTCTGGTCAGGCGGGAGGATTAGCGGAGGCTCCGGAGCGGGGGCTTTCGGCTGCGGGGCCACGCCGTCTTCCGCCACTTGAAAAGCAAAAAAAAAAGGAAACAAAAGCGAGGGTTATATGCCCCAGTTTAAAGAATAACTTGTTCATTTACAGCACCTCACAGCAGAGAGGGTCATTATCCCCGAGGGGGCAATTTGTTTTACAGCAGCAGTGTTGGTGTACAGACAGAAATTAAACATAACAACAACAACATACATGCATAGAAAATCCATTTTTAATTAAGGATATGGCTAAAGGTGTAAATGAGAACTTAAATCTATTGGTTTTAGCGTTGGGGAGTCGGTATCTGTGCTCTGATGGAATTTGTTAAACAAGGGGTGTGCAGAATCGTCACAGATGGATTTTTACTTTACACAATACACGCGATAGATGGTGGAGATGGCAGGAAGATCGGCACCAATGACCTCCTGACATATTTTTACAAGACTGCCCAGTTAGTTCTTGCCTCTCAGATTCAAGTTGCCAAACTAGTAGATTGGAGTGAAAGTTAGAACAGATTCAAGGAAGGACAGACAGAACAAAATCAACAATGGATCATCGACCTTAAAATGCTTAAGCCTCCTTAAGCACCAGGAATCGGTCCTGGGGAGATGTAAGAGCAGCCAGGCCACAGACATCCTCCAGATTAGGGGATCATGTCACCAGAAAGCCATTCATAATAAACCAGAAGGTCCAGCAAGGTCCACAGATCAGGAGGTAAAACAGAAGTCTAAGAAGGACGGAGGGCAGCACTACCGCAATTGCAAAGTATCCTCAGTAAGATGTTCACGACAATGCACAGGGCAAAATGGCACAGAAGTTGGCAAAGAAATAGGGCCAGAAAGAGGTCAACCTTTTTAGCTGATCTATTAGAGCTATCAGGGAACCTTGCATGCTCCAGAGAGGAGACTGCTCATCATCTCTAAAGAACACAGTTACCCAGCCAGACGATAAGAATAGAGACAGCGCAAACTTTGACAAATAACATCAAAAGAGTTTGATATTAAAGGGCCTTGCTCAAGAGAGGTACAAGATGGTGAAGAAAGCGAGAATAAATTCAGCTCCTGGATCATGTGGCTTCCCATATAAAATCTACAAGCACTGCCCAAAGCTCCTCCATTGAGGATGGAAAATATCGGAGGAAATAAAAGAACATCACCCAGTTAAGAATCACTGCCCTGCTCAGTCCTGAAGGGAAACAATTTTAGCATTGTAGTTTAACAGATAACTTCCCACTTTAAGAACAAACTAGGAGAGCCAGGTGGTTTACAAGCTGTTCACCTCACCAGGAAAGCACCACATAAAAAGGAGATGTGATGGAGCTGTGGTTAGATCTCACAAACACCTATATCCTTCAAATTTTCTTTATCAGGAGAACACATACCCATTCCATAACTTCTTTGTTAATTAAGCCCTTTGCTCTTATTTCATCGGGGGTATTAATACATCTAGAGGACACGTTATACACCAGTCACTTTATGCTTCATTAGCCCAATAAAGCATGATTTTGTCTATTTCTACATTTCTTTCCACTGCCACAATTTATACTGTAGGCTAACTGCATCTCAGTTAGGTGGTCTTTACCACACAATTCCAAATAAACTTTAAATTGATTCGAATATAACCTATACAGATTCAAAACTGTTTTTACCCTTTTGCTTCAGTTTTCTTGCTAGCAGGTTTTGTCATGTATACCCACAAACACCAGTCAAACATTCAAAATAACCACGCTTTGAAATGGAATGGTCCCTGTATTTACAGCATCCTTCTTAAACTGATTAACCGATGGTTTCAATATAAACGGAAAATCAAGATCATGCCTGTGCTGGAATTTTTTAAGGTGATCTGTAGCTCCCAGCACCCTGAAGATGAAGAGGAGTGTGTCTGGTTTGTTAAGTGAAAAAGAAACTTACCCACAGATGCAACAATTAATTTTGATGCTGCCCCCCCCCGATACGTGCTCGTTAATGTGGGCGATCTGTATTTTTACCTGGTGTCGAGGCGGGGCTGGGCTCAGGGGGCTGCCGAGCCTCGGGCGGGGTGTCGCTCGCGGTGCTGGGCTCCGTCTCTCCGAGGGCAGGGGGGTCTTTCTTCTGCGTCTGCTGCACCTTCAGGAGCTGGGACAGCAGGACCGTGAAGGCGTTCTGCATGGCGGAGGGGACGACCTCGCTCTCCGGCTTCGGCAGGGGGGGAAGCGGGGGGGTGTGGGGCGCGGGGGGCTGGCTTGCCGGCGCCGCCTTTGGGGGCTCGGGTGGCTGGGGCTCGGGTGGCTGGGGCTCCGGAGGTTTCTCAGGATCGATCAAGATCCCGGCCGGGAGGGACAGCTTGTTGAGCTGCTGCAGCATGTCAGGGTTCACCTTGATATTCATGGCCTGAGCAAACTGGGCCATGCTGACTGAGGTCTTGGACTGCAGGAGGTTCAGCAACGCAGTCAGCTGTTCCTCTGTCAGCTGGGATCCAGTGGCTTTAGTATCTGCAGAAAACCCATAGACAGACAGTTCTGTAATCATAGCATGTAATCTGAATTCTTGCTCATTCTGGTGTCCACCTTTCACTGGAGTAATGCTAGTTAATTGTCCACACTATCCGTGGCCTGCCACAGTTTTACACATTCACAGCTTACCTGTAGCACAGGTGTCATGGAAAAGCCAAAGTACTTTTCTTTAATTTGAGTAAATTTTCATAGGACACTAACTGGAATTAGCAAGGCTGGGATAATATAATTCCTTAGCTTCCAATTATAACTCAGAATTCAGGTTTTCTTCTTAGGAATGAGAACTCTACCCCCCTAAAGCACTGGGACACCAAAACGTCTTTTAATTCCATTTTAGTTTTCGGGGCATGTGTTTTTTTATAGTGGAAAGGTCTTCACCTGTTTTGATTTAAAAAGGAGCTTTTTACAGCTTCTAGAATTAAGTGACAGGCTGAGCAACAGCAACACCACAGCTGGATTCACATACAGTACATCCCAGTCTAGCTGCTGACCTGTGCCGGAGGCGCCCTGAGATTTGTGCTGATTTGGGGGGAAACCCTGGGGCGTGCTGTTCCTGCTGTCGTCCAGTCCAAAGGCCGTGTCCTTCCTGGGGACCTTGGGCGCCGTCATCTCTTCGGGCATCTGCTTCTGCCGCCTGCGCTTCTTGCTCCACAGCTCGTGGCAGTCCTGCCACAGAGGGAGACTGCAGGAGGGGATTGGGGAAACTTACTAATGGCTTCTCGTGTTTGTCACCAAACTGGGGAAGCATCCATCCATCTGTTTTCTGGATGGGTAAATTGTTCCTTCTATTCTTTGCCAGAACAAAAGAAGCACTATAATTCCCTGACAAACCAACATAGATTGTCTTCCAGTTCAAGTTCCCTGTGTTTTTGTTTCTTGATTTCCACCAGGCATGACATTCATCAGGATAAATCACCTCACCAACCAAATCAACTCTCTTGCTAACATGGTGACTTAGGTAAACTCCCGTCGGTGGATCACGGTCATGATTGTGATCAACGGATCACTTTTGACAGTTGATCAGTTTTAATCTCCATCCATCCACTTTCTAACTGCTTCATGCAATTCAGGGTCACGGGAGAGCTAGAGCCTATCTCGGCAATCAACGGGTACATGGCAGGATACACCCTGGATGGAACGCTAGTCAATTGCTGGGCCCACACACTCACACAGCAGATCTTAAAACAGGATCATCAGACAAAAAAAAAGTAAAATCAAGCTAATTTATAGTATAACAGCACCCTTGAAGAATAAGAAAAATCCTCAAAGGTTAAAATTAACATTTGATAACCACCAAGGAATTAAAACATTTCTTAACAATCCACTTGCACACACTGCTCAAACATCCATATTCTCCCCCTGCTTCTGTATCAGGCCCTGCAAGACGTACAAGGCTGCACTACAAGATGCTGCTGTTTCGCCACCACTCCTTAATGTACTCAAGTCAAACGACTATTTCTTTGTCTATGCTTTTTTTTTTCTTAAACAGCCAGACAAACCCTTTTATAATACAAAAAGCCACATTTTCTGCAGACTCTAAGCACACAAACAATAATTACCACCAACAATACATTTGAGCTTAGTTTTTGAATAGGGACGATTCCAAAAATAACAAAATAAGATGAGAGCAAAGATAAAAAAATCACAACATTAATCAAGCATTTGGAGCTTATAGCCTCTGACATGGGACTGTATGGCACTTGTACATTGTGTAAATCACTTCTTATTACTTCAGACACTTACAATAAACCTGTGAGCTAAGTGTAGGCCTGTGTGCAATAATCAAGGCAGCCTGAGCAAATGGAAAATTACATATATGACATAAATATCCAAGTAAATTAGATAAGCAATTCCCATTATCATCCATGAGCAATGTCGGAGGTAAAGGTACTTCAAGACAAAAATGCTGTGGGATACGTACTCAGGGGTGGGCATTTTGGCAGGGTCGACATCCCTCAGGAAATCGCTCTGAAGAGCCTGCTCAGCAGTGCAGCGCTTGCTGGGATCCAGTGCAAGCATGTGATCAAAGAGATCGAGCGCTGTGGAGGGGATGCTAATAAAAAGGGAAAACACCAATACGTAAGAGGAGCTCACACTGAAGAGTCCTGCATTAAGAGGAAGTCCTAGCACTACAATGAAATCGCGACAGCACAATGACACCTGTATATCAGTCTGACGCTTCCAAAGCAAAAACAGCTTTGTATGATTTACAGAATATCCTGCCAGCGCTGTGCACCTCACATGAAAGGTACAGAAACAAAAAAAACTGGAGTCTGCATGGAAATTGGCTGTAAGAAATGCTGATCATTTTTCTTTTTTCTTGCCCTTCTTCACTTTGATTTATCGTTACTTATTTCGGGAAGCTACACTGGAATGCTAAGAGGCTTAATGACCATTTAGCTTCTTTTATGTATTAAAAAAAACAGAATAGTTGTATGATAATGGTTTGCAAAGACTGTTTTCATATATGGTTCATGTTATACAATTCTACCCCTTTACAATATATACTTTTAGAAACAGACTTTGTGATAGTCCTTAAACTTATTTCCCACTTGCCCATACCCCTCTAGTATGATTAGCAAGTTACTCAAAATAATACTGTTCTCTTTTATGTCACCTAAAATGGTTGTGTAGGTTTCACTACAGAATTTAAATATGGGAGGTGCAATTTTTTCAAATAAAAATTTCTTGCTTTCGTAAATGGTTATAAAAAAAATCTTTAAATATGCTTTGCCAACAGAACAGATATTGTATTATGCAAAAAAAAATGCTTCACGTACAATGCAAATTCCTCCCTTAGTCGTCTTCGATACTGCTTCTTCGGTTTCATCGTATTGAAATACGGCAGCTTAATGACATCGGGCCACACCGCTGGACAAGGACTGCCGCAGATCCGACTACCAAAGGAGATAAAAAACAAAGTTGAACTTTACACGCTCATTTGACCCTACCCAAAACAAAGCAGCGGTGTAAATCTGACAAATTCATGCCCAGAACTGAAGAGTATTTAGAGTAGGTTAAAACTGTTGAAATGACTAAAATTAGGGCTGAACAAGCACTGGACAAGTGAAACTGATCGGAATTTCTTTTTCTATGAAGCCAATCACAGCTATGAGCCTCCCCTCTAATGTAACAAGGGAGAACCCGAGAGTTTATGTTTTTAAAAGAAAGTGGTACTTCCCTTTGAGAAAATAAAAACATACATGCATCGATGTTTACTGGACACAAATACTGGGACACAGTTTGACAAACAGCCCTCCCAGACCCAAATGGATAATAGTCATGACAAAAGGAGTCAATTAAAAAAAAAAAACGATGTTATTCTTGGGCCACTCCTCCAACAAATAACTAGGGAAATTGGGAACTACGAACTCCTGTTGATGAGACGACGGGAATCTGTGCAGAGAAGCACAGGAAAGCCCCAGAGCACAAACGCGAGCTCCAGCACACCACTTCTGATCTGAAGAACACACAACTGATGTCTGAGGTAGCGTAGGAATGTCTACAGCTTATCCTCCATCCCAAGGGAAATGATCTGTAATCATTTTCCTAGTCTGAGAGAAACTGGAGAAAAATATAAATGTACTGCACAGAAGAGAACAGCAAATGCTTGGTTAAAATCTTTCCATTTTTTTTTTTGCTGGGTCCTCCTGACAGCCAAACAAGTGATCGACGTTTGCACTCTGGGTCATTTCCACTACCGCCAGGCTGTGCCGTGACTTTTGTTTTTACCTCATTGATGACTAATGCATTTAGCAGTGGTTGAACTGGTCATCAACTCAGATTTTTCCAACATGTCAAAGTGCCCGTGAGAATGTTCACAAAAACATTTCCAAAGCATTTCCGTGACCATAATGATGAATTGTTCCTGCGTGATTTCTGCCTAAGCCGCTTCCTCACGATGATAATCTGTTTTTCTGTGACTGACATTTAAAAACAGTTGTAGAGAGGAAAGTACCAAAAAACGCTGAAAATGTGTACGCTAGTGTCAGGTTGTGTTTTACCAGTGCCAGCAAGCTCCTTCAAATCCCAAGCTTTGCGCAAAGCACACTCTAACAGCCTTGAAAATCCATGTGTAGCCTTTTTATAAATGCCCAACAAACAAGTCTAAAGATCTTCTGTTCTCTTCTTTGGTGACATTCAGGAAAGGAAGTGAAAACTCAATTTCATCAGACAGGAATCTAGTGCATCCTTCAAGCAGTATAACAATGCTGTGACATTTAAACCATTTTAGCCAATAAAAAAAACTAACAACCCATATATACAATTCTTTTCCATTGTGTAGAAATTCTGACATAAATTATTCTTAACAGAGAATGTTATTTATATAGTTTTAATGAAAGGTCACCAGTGCAGAAGAACCCAATATCATCATATTTTATAAACTATCAAATTTCAGACTGTGCACTGCTTTCGACTGAGGACTAAAGACATTTTCATTTTAATTACATAATGAAGGCCTTTTGGGTTCCGTTGAGAAAGACGACCTTAACCCACCTGATAAGTTCTAACTGTGCGAGTTCTTGGTTTGCTTGAAAGATGGGTTTCTTTGTGAACAGTTCGCCCAAAATACACCTAAGAGTGAAAACAAGGCAGTATTAGGACTGATAGGAAACCATATTAAAACACGTTTCCTTAATTGGAAACACATGAAAGGAAGGATGTTTGTTTTCTCCGATAATTTTCCAAGATTCTTACCCACAGCTCCAGACATCAATAGCTGGTGAATACCTCTCCTCTCCCAACAGCAGTTCTGGCGGGCGGTACCACAGAGTAATAACTTTATTCGTATAGGGTCGGCTGAAACACAAACACACAGAAGATCGCCGAGTCCCAAAGTGAACAAAATACAACCCTTCCAGTCACAAAGTTTAGCAGAATTATAACCCCGGAGGCTTATCCCACCATCCTTCACCATAAACCCACCCTTCCATTTTAGACGAAGTAGAAACTATGTGTTTTCAGAGCTTCTTCATCATAATAATTACGATCTCTAATGCCTAGAAACCGATAAAATGATTTTATCAGGCACTTATTCTGGTAAGAAAATAAATTCTCAAGGATATTGATACTCAGGATAGGCAGTGAATGATTTGGGAAAACTACTGCCTCTAATAACACATGCCACTAATGCACCTACACTTCTGTAATTCTTGTAATGAACAGCTTTGCTCAGTTTTTGTTAATAGACAGAGGCATCATAAGGTGTAAGTCTTTCCCAGTGAGATTGTATAGACAGTGTAGACTTGTGCTTTCAGTCAGCTAGGTGTTAAGATGCAGACCGCTTAAAAGTATCTAGATGGTCCTGCACATATTCAAGCAGAATCAATTATATAGTCAACAGCCTATTTGGTTATATTTGGTTACTTTGTTATAATTATGACTGCCTGATATATCAGCTTCTCACAGGGACTAGGACAAAAATAACTGTTAAATGCTATTGGAGTCCCTGGAGGCTCATCATGTTCATGCAGCTGGCATGTTAGTTACTACAATACAGCACATCAATTATAAACTAATTGGTTAAGAGTTCAAAATAAAATGTTAGCCTGTAACAAGGGACTCTGGTTGTATAATATTACATAATGAGAGGAAGACAGCATTCAGAGTGAAAGGTAAATAATTATATATTTATACAGTATATTATATATGTGCATTCTCACTGTCCTACACACCAGACATTTATTCAGTGCATGAAAAACTTACAACATAAATATAAGTACTGCATCGCAACGTGTGATGTTTTGGACTGGTAAAATATTGTAACTGCACAAGTAAAGGTTCATTCTGAGGTGAAAAACAGAAAGGAGAAACGCAACCTGTCGCAGCCGAGTCTTCTTCAGGTGTGTGTGCTCCTTTCTATTTTGCGGTGTGGAATTAACCGTTACATGTAGGCTTGCCGCTCACCCACCCTGACACAGCTCTCCAATCACACACCTCCAAGTTGCACTTTCCATGTTCACATTCTGTCTTGCTCAAATTAGAAAGCAGCTCCAAATTTATTTAAGTATGAATTTTACCAGCAGAGGTAAAAACAGTGAAAACATATTAAAACTGATGTATATAAATACACATCATGCAGTCATAATACTAAGAGAACTGGAAAAAGAAATGAAGTACGCAGGATCAGTACAGTAGTGATATGTTCTCATCCATCCTGATACCCAATATGAAAATTCACAGAAAAGTCCAAGAAGTTTATATTTTTGGATATAAAAAAGAAATAACTGTCAGTTCTTAGCTAAGCTGTTATAATATTCATGGTCCAAAAAGTAGTTTTTTTTGTATGTGGGACCAGGTAAGGTCTGCCTTTTGTCATTTGAGGTTAAAGTCAGACTTGAAAAAGCAAAGTACACACAGTGATAAGGAAGATGTCTAAGTGAGTTTACTTACCTCTCCTCTGAATTGTAGAGTCTGGCCAAACCAAAATCTGCAAGTTTTATCTGCCCCCTTGTGGAAAGCAGAAGAATCAGTGAGTACATGTTAAGTACTACCATACCTAATACAAATAAATAACTAATATAATAATAAATAATAACTTCTTATTTGTAAAAAGTTAAATTCTCTTCGTATCACTATCTATTATACTATGTTTTCCTGTTTTAAAGGCCTTTCCGTACAGAGTTCAATGTATAAAAATCTAATTTTAATGGCTTGTTTCAGGAAATTGTAATGTGAAATATCAACAGAAAGAATATGCAATCTACCAAAGAAATTATTGAGATGAGGGTTTCGCTTATTCAAATAATTTATGGAAGCAGAGATTCAGACCCACAAGGTTATTTCACAATCATATAAAAACTTAATTTTCATATAAATGCATCCCGACTTGACTATGGCACGCTACAAAAACTGTCCAAGAATTGTATCTCCCTTTTCCTGAAGCTCACTTTAACAAGTAATGTAGGGAACAAAACATTAACAAAAATCCTACAACACGACATAGACTTTCAACGAAGAGGCCATATCAGGCTCCATCAAGACATAGGGCAACTCAACCCCAATAGAAACATAATGGTGAGCGTAATTCCCTTTAAGCATAAGGCATGTTTCTTTCATTATTTTTTCTTAAAGACACATTGTTATTGATTTTAAAACTCAGACCACAAAAGGGCTTAATCTTGATTCTCCTCAGGCTAGTAGATTATGCCTGGAAGCTTATGCCTGCTATATGTGAACTGGCAGTGCTCAATACGGGTATCCTATGGTTTCAAGAGCACCAGCTATTTTAATCTGCTCAGAGAGGAAAAAGAACAGCAGCAGCTCCTCTTGCCATTTACTTAAGAACAGTCCCACCCTACATTAGTATAGCCATGACTGTCAAATCATACCCATATTGTTCTAAGTAATATATTCATTAATTTTCTAAAGAATGGAACTAAATCAAGAAGATCAAGGCGAGAACTGCTGCTCTTAATTATATTAACTGTTATGCATTTAAGAATACATCCCGCGATAATCTAAATCAATGTACCTGTTATTAAGAAGGATGTTTGAACACTTGATGTCTCTGTGTAAAAAGTTCTTCTTGTGGCAGTAGTCCAGGCCTTCCATTAGTTGCCTCATGAAAGACTTTATGTGGCTCTCGTTGAAATGAACCAATCCAGATTCCAGTAGGCCCATCAGGTCATGATCCATGTACTCAAACACTAAATAAAATGCGCCTAGAAATTTGGCAAAGGATAGGTACTGTCAGTAATCAGAAAAAAAGTACAACTGGTAACCTAATCTATATTTAAGCACAGGATATCCCTACCAATTTATGGGAAACGTTTTTCTAGCGATCCCCCACAAATGGAGAAAGCCATGAATCTACAGTACCAACAACATAAAATATGGAAAAGAGATTTGTTCACCAAATCTGCCCTTGCACTAAAGCAACCACATTTTCATAAATTAATGCAATCTACATGTGTAATCTGCAAATGGTTCAAATAGGTTATTGGACTTTCATTTAGTAGTGACGATGGTGGGGATAGAATGATAGAGCCAATTATGATGAAGGATTGGTGGCAGTAGAATAACAACTTATTATTATAATTGACAAAATAATTAATTGGCACTCATTCTCTACTTTCTAATTTTATGGCATTTCAAACCTCTGAAGAAATGTTATGCAATGTTGATAAGAATTTATGAGAACACCGTGAAACACATTCTGACATGTTACCCAGAACATAAAACTTTCAGATGTTGCTTCAGAAATATGCTGAACTTTGACAGACATCTAAAAAGACAGACGCATACATAAAAACTAGAACCCATTCAAGTTAGCTACCCCTGCATGGGAAATGAATACCTGGTGGGTTAGAAAATCAAATTTCTGCATTGAAAGGACGAGTGAGTTACCTCCAATTACTTTTAAATGTAAAATCATGTACTATGTTTCTTTGTTTAATCTTTCCAATTAAGTACTACCAATTGTTTATAATTAACTGCACTTGATTATATACCTATTTATTTATATATAAGCACGCATTTAATAAATAGGGATTTATTACACCAGCTTCAGGTCAAATTCTCATTCACAATGACAACCTGGCAGAAAGGCTTACATCAAATGTCCCACAAAGGACAAAACAGTTAAAGACATGAAAACTGGAAATCTAAAATTAGGCATGAGGCAGTGTTAACAAGTGTACTGTAGGTCTCAGGCATAAAAGGGTTTAATCATCCTGAACAACCTGGGATGGGAAACTGGACCGTTTCAGTCAAAGACTGCCCCAGTCAACGTGATAAACTGTGATGTGCCCAGAGCCGCTCTGGCAAGATTCAGTCTGATATAGATATAAGGATCTTACAGAGTACTGTAATAACTTAAGATAGGACAGGGTTTACCCAGTTTATGACACCGACCATGAACAGTACTGAAATTAAATTCTCATCAATGTATTCCTTTTTTATAATGAGATTCAATGTTAAGATAGTGTGACGGCGCAGTGGTTAGCACTGCTGCCTTGCACTGCTTGGGCCCTGGGCTCAATTTCTGGAGCACCATCTGTGGGGAGTTTGTATGTTCTCCCTGCGTTCATGTGTGTTTCCTCTGGGTGCCCCCGATTCAATCAATTGTTCATATTGGCGTCTGGCGTGTGTCTGTTCTATCCCATCCAGGCTGCAGCCCACCTTGCTCCCAGTGCTTCCAGAGACAGACTCTTGGAGGGATTGCAATGTTAAATTCTAAATTGCAATTAAAAAAGGAAATACCCTTATCGTTTTTGAAGTCCAAGGCGTCCTCCTTGTCAGTTACGATCTCCTTCATGTTGATGATGCTCTTGTGGTTGAGCTGCCGGAGAATCTTGATCTCCCGAATGGCAGTGATGGGAAAGCCTTCCTTCTCGTTGTCCAAACGCACTTTCTTAAGGGCAACCATTTCAGCTGGGGAAAACAAGACTGCCCATGATTTTGACTTAAAGACTGGGGAATAAAGGCCATTAATACCCCTTCATACCATTTTTATCATGTCCTAAGGAACATGATATAATTTAATAAAGAAAATAACTGCTCAATACTGCTTCAATATGCTTCCTTGTTCTCATTTTTTTTTAAAGAACTGGTTTTCATTTTTCTCAAATTCAATATCTCCCTCACCACAGTTTTCAGGGTGTACCAGGTAAATTTAAGACGGTGTTTGAAAACTGTCATGTTGCTTTCTGTATCCTCCCTGCATCACTTGAAAATAGAAGGTAAATCCTCATTAATACACCTACAAACTTAAAAACATGACAAAAACAGGCCCAATTGCTCTTTCAAATCTAAAAAAAAAACTGAAATCATTGCGACTTTTACCTGTGTCCTTGTCTTTTGCTTTGTAGACTTGCCCATAGGTACCTTCTCCTGTTATGCCAATAATTTCAAACTTGTCCACGCATCGCTTTCCCCAGTCTATCTCCGCCTCCTTTATCTCGCCAAATCGGGGGCCGCAGATTCTTCAAGGTACGAATGGAGAATTCATTGCATTAGTTAAGGAAAATCAGACGTCACAGATTACACTGGATTTTTACACTGACCCAGGCGAAGCATACTGTATTTGTGGAGCCGAAGCAAAAACAATACGTACGATATCCTGTGAGACTTTCGGGCTTGAAACGGATGTTAATACAGATGTAACACAATGAAACATTCCTTTATCCCACATTCAATCAAACTACTCAACAAATGAGTTCACCATAAAGATGTATTGGTTTATGGGCAAGTGCAATTATTGGTTATATATCAAAACGAAGCAAAACACAAAGCAGAGAGTGGGTCTGACGCATGACCCTCAGCTGCTGTCCCCTTGGGTGGGAGCCATTCCACAGTAGGACCATGCAGAAAGGGAGAATTCCCACTAGCCATTCAAACCTGCTCTGCTTGTCTTTGTTAAGAAGACGAAACCAAAGCACTTGCTGAAAATCGACTCCTGTGCCCTGGACAGCTCCCAAATAATTAGAACCACCTAACAACAGGGCCAATAATACTCTTGTTCTTATTGATGAAATAACGCATGGCACATAAATCATCTTATACAGAGAGAACAAAGTGAATTCTGAATTTCTTTAAAAATGATCCAAGAACACATAAATCATTATTCTAATATTTGTGACTCCACAGAGAAGTCAAATCACTTGGAAAAATGCACTCTAATTGGATATTGGGAATATCCAATACCTAGCCAGGACTCCTATATAACATATATGTGCCTCCACTCAACATTAGAAATGCACTCAAACGAAGACAAAGTGACCATCATGTTTCGGGTACGTATAACAATTAGGTTAAGTAGGTCATTGCTCAAGTACAGTCTGCTTAGATTTTTATTGATGGTAGGAATACATCCAGGTTTATCCGTTTATAACATCAGGTTTATAAGACACAGTTAAAAAAGGATTCCTATTTAACATCTCTTGATTTGAATTCGGCGCTTTCAGATCTATCCTAACATTCCGCCCGCCTTTCTATTGCTTCCTTACACTCTCAAGAACAATTCTGTATAATTCACTTCTGCACTTGTGAATGTTAAAAATCACTTGCCACGCCACGCGTCCGCGTTCACCCAGTTCTAAACTGTGTCTAAGCCCTTTGGAATTTGCCTTGCAGTTTCTACAGTGAATATTCCTGACACGATAGTCTGCAAAAGCCACTAGTTCACAAACTATACCAGAATCTAGTTCAGAGGTGGACAGTCTTTGAGGGCTACAACCTTCCCCTGTCTTTTACTCTACTTCTGATCTCATTTAAGTGCCCCCACTAGCTCTGCTGGTAGAGCACGCGACTCATAATCTCAGGGTAGTGGGTTTGTGTCCCACGTCGGGCACCAGATCCTCCACGTTGGAGGTTGGGCACAAGGCTAACAAACCCTGTCCTGTAAAAAACTCATGTTTACGGAAACAGCAACAGGAGGTTGCTGGCCCTACATGCCGGAAGGCACAACGGGCAAACATCCATCCTGATCTCATTGACTTATATGAACTATTTCTGATTGGGAGTCAGTCAAATTAACTGTTATTTGCAGCTCATAATGTTGCTAACTGAAAGGACCCTGGAATTTCTAGAAACAAACTGAGCTAAACGGGTCAAGAGGCCTCCACTAATTTGTAAGCTTTCTTGTCTAGGACTGAAAATCTAAGGTAAATTAAGGAAAGCCGTCAGTGGGACATGCAGCATATCTTAACGGTAATTAGACGAAATCGGGCATCTATGAAACACTGGTTGTGTTTTTAAAATGTCCTAAAAATACTTCAAGTGATTGAAATCAGTATGGCTGTGCAGCAGGCAAAAACCAGGGAGTGACCTTTACTTAAGATCAAGACCACATGAATAAAACAGCTTTCTTCTGAGTGATGAAACAACATGAAGACATCTTTCACAACAGCTTCTAATTCTGGCCTGAGGTGGTCACAACCCCCTTGCACTGGCAAGCGCATTCATCTCTGGCTTTTATGCCGTTTTCTGCAAGAGGAACTGGATGGAGGATTACTCGGTAACTGTATGCAGCCCCTGTGGGATCAAGAGTGAAAAGAACCATTCCACTTTTACACCAAGAGATTCTGATTATTCCACACAGCAATACATAAGATGTCCAAACCGTTTTCTAATGTATCCAAGCCAGCGGGGAAGCCTGACATTAGCGGTTTGCTTTTTCATAATTATTTCCTGTAATAGCAGCCATTTATAACCCAATAATCCTATTTCTTCGCAGACTTACTTTGGCCGGCGTTTTGCGGCCGATCCAGGCTTCTTCTCATCGGGGCTGTGAGGGGAAGTTGGGTCTGCTCCAGGCAGCTCCGGAGGCAGGGGCAGGTCACTGAGAAGATGCCGCGGCTTCTTCTCTGTCTTTTTCTTTCCGGTTTTGGATGGCAGGCCATCTTTTAAACCGCTGAATGGGGGGGGGAGAGATATATATATATAAACATGATATACAAGTAAAAAATACTATTGAGTCTTAATAAAATCAAACTTTTAACTAGCCAATGGAGGGATTCCGCTAGCAAACATCAATCCAATACTCTCTCCCATAAGGAGAAAAAACAGGTATAAAAATGCAGGTTTGTTTATAGTGAAAATGGCATTCCGAAATCAAGGGATAGATTTCTCTGCAGGAGCTGGAGTGCAGACTTAATATCACCCCTCAGCCCACGAAAAAGGAATCTCCTGTCTTCTTGATGTCAATCGGTTAAGTTTTTATCGACGGAGTTCTGAAATTCTGAAAAAAACCAAGATGAACACAAAGCACCAACTTCCTTACGCCTTTTTACAGGTTTCTTGGCAAGATATTAATAAAGCCAAAAGGTCCGATGCAAGCACTAAAAGATTGGATGTGTTAAACAATCAGGGATTAGTACATAGCTAATTCTTTTTCATAACATGCAAGAAAGGGAACACAGATCTTGAGGATTTGCTTCAGACAATGTGTCGCTCCAATAGAAACCAATCTTCATCATTGTAATTGTGGAACTCATCCAATTGAGCCAGCTCTTGAAATAGGATACAATTTAAGAATTTTCTTTGGCCACAACCATTCCGAACATCAGTGCTGATTGTTCTTATGATGTTCGTTTGAGATATGCCTCTAAACAACTGACGAGTGCTGACAGAGGATCTGGGGGAAATATTCTTCCCCAACATTTCTGAGTAGCAGTGAAATATTTCTACCGAAAACGTACATAACTTGGGACACAGCCGATGTGCGAGTGTACCATTGGAGGTACCAAAAGGTATCATGATCAATTTCATTTCAGAGGAATGTAGTCGATGTATGACTTTGTAATATATGATTTGATATCTAGCATTAAAAGAGCAACTGTAAATATTGCTCTGACACTCTTCCCAAACATTTATTAGAGATTTCAATATTGAGCACCTTGTACAAGGCATACTTCAGAGTGTGCTTAGGAAAAAAGGACACAAGCTGTGAAATTAAATTTCTAAAATTAGGTCACGGCTCAAAATTTATCTTGATTTTAAGCATAAAAGGGTTTACTCAAACTTTTTAAAAATCATCGATTTAACAGCTGCTGGATCCATAATCATTCTTTTGTGTACATGGGGTAACAGCTGAGAATTCAATATATTCACTCTAAATACATCTCTAGTAATAGCTCTCATTCTGTAGGATGGGGCAGTGTGAAGGGTGTAGCTATATATGACCATCACATGTTTTAAAGGCTTTAAAAGAGGACACAACAGCAAAATGTATGAGAATCGCTTACCACAGTTAAAGAAAACAGAAAAACTCCTGTCTGCTGTGTTCTGCCAAACCCAGGGCAAATTTTTCTATTAAGATATTTATTTTGTAAATTTTACTCATGCATTTTTGACATAAAAAAAGACTTGGAATACTCTCTACCTCAGATTTGTTTAATGTTTCTGCTGTTTGGCAAGTGTTTGTTGTGTTCTTAAACTAAAGAGTTGTTTAATTTTTAATTTACCATTTAACTGTCTGGTTTCTTCAACTTTCACTCAGGAGAAAAAATCTGCCTTTAAACTTGAAAGAAATAATGATTTGACATTTATTGTGATAATTATCAATATCGACTGATATGAAAATTTTTATCGTGATAATGTTTTTGGCCATATCGCCCAGCCCTAGTCCCAATGGGACTTAAGGTGTAAAACTTTCAAGTACGTTTGCTTTAAAGAGATCCTGATACAAGAGATACCTGATACCTAGAAGAAAAGCTGTCTAGAGCAGTTTTGCTTAGTACCCTGTCCGTAAAGCCAGAACATCACACTCCATGCCAGAAATCCACATATATATTGCCCTACAAATATAGTCATACACCACAGTAAATGGGAACAAAATTAACCTCTTATAACAAAATGTTTGGATAAAGTTTCTTGTTTAATAGCACTGCTCTGAGAAAAGTGAGATTTATCATCTTGGTACATATTTGAAGGAGCAAGTTTCTTTTTTTAAGCTTTCTCTGCTGATGTACCTGTTCACATCAACACCTGAAACGCAAGACCTCAAAAAAGGAAATGCCTTCTGCTGTAAAGCCAATTTAGACCAACAAATGTGTTAAAAATGACTATATGAATGCTAAAAGCTTTCTGTGCTTTCCCCAGCTGTGGTGTATAAGAAGAGAAAACCATTACTCCACAGAGTAGTTCCTTCACACCATTCACTATAGAGTCAGAAGACAACTGTCAGTTTGGCATTTTGAAGTTTGAACCACCTTATGTTTTAAATCTTCTTTGCACCTCCGAAAAAGAAAAATTTCCCCCAAAAAGGAAGGCATTTATTTTTAATAATATATGCATGAAAACCTTTAATATGGCCCACACTTGTAACCACGTTTGATTTGGATGAGCCCTCAAAGTGTAGAAGAAGCAGAGAACTTGTCAGTTGGTCTAAGATAAATGTTTTCTATAGAGGGTTTAAATTATACTAATGAAAAACTGATTTAAATTATTTTAACATTGAAGGAAAAAAGCTTTTATTTCTTGTTTGGCCTGTGTGTCTCTGTTACATAGTACCTTGAGGTCTTGACTTCTGACACTTCTTAATCATATTATCACTTAATTTCATCACAGCTCATTGTCTACAAACCAATGTTTAAACACCTATGTCTTATGACTAATGAGCAACGTTCACAATGAAAGCTTGTCATTACAATAGTACTCTGGTGTTGCCCAAGCTTTTAAAATACTACAGAGCAGAAATGAGAAAATAATTCTAAATTATTATCCATGGTGTATTTCTGAATCAATCCCTATACTACTGAGGTGTGTGTATCCCTTCTTCTTTGCACTTTATTCTTTAATATGTTATGTATTTTTTTTAATTAAAACACATGTGCAAAGGATCTCTCTCATAAAGGCATAACCATAGCTTTTTGTCCACTATTATTTATGTCCCAAACTGTGACAATTGGTATATTTTTGGGTGCCGAAACAGACAAGAAAAAAGAGCGACAAAATAAAAAATGACCTCCTCTCATTTGCAATGTGCTCATGATTAATCATGCTTGTATGTTTTGATCAATTAATCTTTAAACGAATTGCACAAACTAAATAAAAATGACTTTCACCAGCAATTTTAACCTCTCCTGTTCCTGCTCCTATTGCCTGTCAATTTAGTAATAAAGCTGAACATTCGGCATCTTTAATAACTGTTCAAGAGTGCTTATGAAATGCTGCCTTGATAGTATAATAGTAGGTAGCTATTTTTGTAGTGTTACTCAAGAGGGGTGATCTTGTAATTTCCCTGCTCAGTTTAACATTATTATGGATTTACACTATTGCGGTCCCAAGACCTGCAAACAACTCAACTGCCCCAAAATAAAAATAAAATCTAACATGTTTCCACCAAGAGCTGTCATTTGCTTCTCTGCTGTACAGGTCCGGAAAACAAAATTCCTGAAACCTGCGACCTGTGCACTACAAGCACGTTTCCAATAATAACCAAACAGGGAAACAAATCCCTTTTCTACAAGAATATAACCATTATCTGGCTCCCGTCTTCATGTGCTTGTCTCCTCCCCTGAGAACTGGCATTTTATCATAAGACGAAGAGGCAAAGGAGGAAAGTGAACTAACATATTTCTAATTATGAGAAAAGTGTGGCTTACAAAACAGTTGCATATTATAATTATTCCCACGAGCAGGTGATACTTCAACGCACAAAGCTAACCCATATTTCTTCTTCAATGTGTAAATCCGATGTGACGTGTATTACCCAGAAGATCGCACAGACTTGTAGAAAAATGCAAAATGTTAAGCAACGCAGTATTAGGAGGCATATTAATGAGGAGGGTTATTTAATCAATAAATGAGTCATCCAGATGAGGACATGGAGTAAAAAAGTTAAAACTGGTGTAACCGTGCGCAGATATGGGGACTGTGTTTTAAACCGGCTTCAGGTCAAAACCCCCTGAAAGAGGCAGGGAGCCAGTGTGAAATCACTCTGTAGGTATCTTGTTGATATACAATGTCAAGGGTGAGCGTGTTTGCTCGAACAGGAGAACTCTATTCTCATGCTCAGGGAGAGAAAATGGTTTGCGCCCGAGCTGGAGTGCTGCTGGCGAGGTTGTGAGGTGAACCTGGAGCAGCCACATGAGTGTCTAATACAGGGTGTTCAATTAGCAAAGCAGACGTAATTAATGAGCTATTTACTGCAGGTTCACACGGCTGTCAGGGAGGAGAGTGAGAGAGAGCCGCACTCCCTGTTATCGCGGGATCTCTAGGGGGGACTATTGGAACCCCAGAATAAGCGATACCTCTCCTGTGCCACACCAGTTATCGAAGTACCGACCACTGACACACAGACGAAAGGTCTTATAATGACATCATTAGAAAAATCCAAAACCCTTTTCTTCCAAGACTATTAGGTATGAAGATTACACCTTCTTATGACTCTGACCCTAATAAAGCTTTTATTCCACCCACCTTTCTGTATTTTCCAAGTCCTCTGGCAGCACCGGTGGCAGCGGTAAGGGCGCGAGGGTGGAGATGAGGGGGAGTACCAGTCGTTCTTTCTCCTTGGAGCCCTGGCTGCTGGGTGCCGGGGCTTTCCTCTTCTCCTTTGGCGGCGGGGGAAGTTCTTCTTTGACTTTCACTTCTTTAGGAAGAGGCGCGGGGGCTACCTTTTTGACCGAGCGCTCCGGGGACGACGGGGGCTGGCTGGGGCCTTCCGGTTTGAGCTTGGCGGGCTTCTCTGGGGGCGGAGAGGGGGGCCGCTCCAGCTTGGGCTTCTTCGGCTCCTTGGCCTGGCCGCCAGGACAGGGGGGCTGGGAGGTGGAGGTGGAGGCGGCGGCGGCGGCGGCTGAGGCAGAGGCAGCGGTAACGGTGGCGGTGGCAGGCGGGGCTGGGACCTTGGTGGGTGTGGAGGAGTTGGAGGCCTTAGCCCCGGCGCGGGCCGCCTCGGCTGCCTTGGCCTTTTTCTGCTTGCTGAGCTCGGCGGCCAGGCTGCTCTTGAAGGCCAGGGTGCTGGGCGAGATGCTGGAGGGGCGGCTGTGCGAGCGGGAGTGGCGGTGCCGGCTGCGGGAGCGCGAGTGGCGCGAGGAGTAGGGGCTGCGGCTCCGGGACTTGCCCGTCCTCCTGCGAGGGGGAGAGAGAAGGAGAGGAAGTCAAACCCGCGCAAAGAGCCACCAGGGGGCTGGTGAAGTCCCCAGGCGGAAATGAACCCAGGGTCTCTTCCAGACCACGGTGTCCCACAGGACAGCGGACCGAAAAGCGAACCGCTCGGAACTGGAGCTGGGACACGGAGAATGACACAAGGAAACACGAAGACGTCGGCGTCTTACGGGTTTCCGTTAGTTCCAAACATCCGCCCCCCCCCACCACCAAATTACCCGAAACGCAGCCCCTCGTGTCGGTTTACACCGAAGACACGGCGAAAACCTCTCTTGCTCCAACTCCACAGACATCAACTTCAACAGTCCTCAGGGCTTCGTGCCTTGAAATGACCTGATTCACTAGTAAGGACACCCAAGACTTCCTTGGAAAAACGAAATATAGTTATCACCACTGTCAAATAAACATAAGATACAGATGAGTACAGTTAACAGTCAAATGTATTATACTTAGCAAATCACGGAATAATAGAAGAAAATATAGTATTTTTAGCTGAAACAACAATGACGCAATGCCATCAAGAATCGCAGCATTACAATTATACCAGATCTTTCCGCTTAGAGCTGAACACACATGCGCACAGGGGGAACACGTTTTCCACAAACCACATTAACTGTGACAATAACTGCACCGCATCACAATCTCGTGATTCATACTAGCTGGGATGCAAATCTATGCAGCAAAACTGACACCCTTCAGAAACCGGCGTAGTGAAAAGGTTCAACCCCTAGCAACTCTTCGGACAATATGGTTTCCTACATCTGTACCTTGTTTGTTGCACATGTGGGACTTTGTTTTTGCTGGCTCATCTTCAAGAAACGCACTGCACAAACATTAATGAATTCCATAAAAAGAAGGACAAAATGCTAAATCAAATCATGCCGCCTAACACCGTGTATTAGTTTGACTAATGGAAGAGATTTTGGTCACCATACTTCAAGAAAAACAAAGCTGCTCTTCGGGCAGGACAAAGGAGCACCGTGGGTGTTGCATGGGAAGCCAAATTTCTCAAGACTACAACAATTTGGTATTTTCAGCCTGGGGACTGACTGAGGGACCTAAAATCTTGCAAGGCACTGATTATATCAACATCAACACCAGGATCTGAGCACACAAGTGAAGTGTATGCCCTTTAAAAAATGAAAACTGAAGACATGTCTTTACACAGAGCAGTGGTTATCAGTGCTCATCCAAGAGTGCTCCAGTGTCTACTGGTTCTTATTCCAACCCCGGCCTCAATCAATGTGGTGACTGCTGCTACCAAGTGATCTGCTTGTGGGTTTAGGTTTTTTTAGCACACTCAGATCTTGAACCACGTGCTAGACAGTGAATGTTTTGAACTGGCCACATTCAGGTGTGGCAGCTGAAACACAACCAGTTTTATTTAAATACAGGAAAAGCTGACTCACTGTGGGAGTTGTCTGATAAACTGTTATTCCTACCTGTGTTCATCATTGATCATATGTTGCAAGTTGTTCAGTCTGAAATCACCATCGTCACCATCACTTTCAATAACCACATTGGGACCAGATAAGATAAACCGTGGATGGGATGCTTGTCTATTGCAGGGCACACACAGGCTATTATGGGGGGGCATTAAAACTAGGAACCCCACACTGCAGTGCACTGCACCATCCCTTAAAATCTGCACAAATAAAACTGCTAATTCTTAGCTAGCAATGTGAGGAGAAACTTCATAAAGTTCTGCCTGGTGACAGTGAAGTAAATAATGCCTTTTATGCCCAGAAAGCATACCTACAGTACTGGCTACCATTAACTAAGGGACCAAAAGAAACAAAGATAAGCAGAGACACTGGTACTTCAGGACCAGGACTGAGAACCACTGAGATAAAGAAGTCTGGAACCTACTTCTAGCACATGTTTCTTCAAGAAAGGAAGTAGACAGGATCTTAAGAAAATAAAGTGATCAGCATCGTAAGAAGCCACATGTGCCCATCTCATTTCAAACCTTCGTCATGTTCTTCCTTTTCTAACGCTGTAATACAATTACAATTTACCGTAACCTAAAACATCATGTCCACAGCACAGCCATAGCAAGCCCAATAATCCATTCCCTTCCAAACCGATGGAAACAGTGTGGTGACGGGGAACCCACTGTGCTCTCTCACTGCATTGTACTTCTTAAAATCAGCAACGATTTCTATTGCTAGGAGCCAACCTTTCCTATCACTGCAGTGGACTTTGATTTTACATGTCACACTTTCCTTGTGGGGAAAAAATAACTATAAAACAAACATCCACAATAAAAGCTGCTAAAATCACCAGGGGTAACACAGCATATGTTTGGCGGTGTACACTAAGTCTAGACTGTAGGCAAGTTATCATTACTGTAATTCTAGGATTCAGGCATGCTGTAGGAATCTCTCGTACCATTAATACAATTTGATGCACTACACTTGTAACATCTGACTGCAGCCAAAATACGTAACCTCACCATGCAGGTGAATGACTAAACAGCACGAACCACGTTCCGAAGCAGGGCTAAGTATTCCTGCCACTTCAACGCCATTCCACTTCAAGTCTTTGTCACAACTAATTAAATACGATATCCACAGGCTTAAGCACTTAAGTGACAATTATAGTAAGTGAAAAAAAGATTGGTTGTCTTCTCACAGTGATAGCAGAACTGTGCAGCACAACGGAGAATCACATCATGACAGTCTGTGAAAGCACTATTCGAGTCTTTCCAAGTGCAATTTGAAATGTTTGGTCACAAGGTAACAATACTCAGACCACTCCTTACCTCTTCATCCGTTGGTTGAAAAATCTACAATCAAACATGCAATACAGCAGCCTTGTGATAATTTTTTGGCCATTTTACAATAACCTAAAATGCCATGTACCCAGGGAAGCAATGCTCCCCTGTATTCACCCAGCCAGTCTCTTGCTGCAACTTTTCAAAACTGCTCTGAGCTGCAGAAAATCCATGCACACCTGATATAGCTGCATGGTGGCTTTTAGCTACCTTCAAAGAAGACCCAGCTGCACAGAACATGATCAATGTATTCTCATCGACCAACAATGTCAGTGCCTGTGTTGCTATCTATTCTACAGTACAGTTAATTAGTATATTAAACAACTGAACAGTTGCGAGTTATGCAACAGCTAGTCCCAATTTAGATCCAGTTTGACTAACCTGCCTGTCAGACTACCTGGATATTTATCACAGCCCCAAAGGATATCAGCCATCAAGTATTGCTTAGGAATTTGCTTTCGGAAGAGTGGGTCAAGGTTTAGATCTAAATCAGATTCTAGACCACTGGTTCCCAACCCTGGTCCTGGGTGAACCAAGAGTCTGCTGATTTTATTTCCACTTGCATTTATCGCTATTGCTTATTGGCACCTTGCGATTACCATCATGCTTGTTTATACTTTGGTTCACCTCTTTCTGTACTCTGCCCACAGTTTCAGAAACACCCAACTTCAAGTCTGTTATTCCAACAACCTCACCTTAAATAACTTCCTGTAACGTCCACTCATTCCGGTCTCAAAAGCTGTTAATGGGTGATCAGTTTATGACGAATAGGCTAAAGGCTAAGGTATGTTTAAAACCCTTTGTCTAGCAAACGGTCTTGTAAATATGAAAATGTCTTTGACTTAAAGAAAACCTGAAAGAGTTTATTCGTAGTTTAAACATAGAAAAAAAAATTGCACTGAATGGTGCCATGAATGTTGCCTAATTTGTTTTATTTCTATAAACACACCAGTCCAAGCGACTAAAATGCAGTGAGACAGGATTGGCTCTCAACCATTCCAGGTTCAAAAATGGGAGGAGGATCAAAGTTGCTTTTGCTCCATACAACTGTGGCAGACATCAAGGCCACTACGATAACGTCAAAGACCAAAGGGCAGCACTCTGTGTAATTTTGCTCTGGATTCACAGCTAAAGGTAAACATTACCTCAGAAAATGTAAATTAATAATAATTTCAAAATCATACATTATTGGTACAGAGGCAAATGTAGAATGAAAGCTATCTTTTCAGCTTAGGCTTGGTTGTGGAGTAACTTTAGGAAGCAAAATGAAGTTTTATCTTGGAAACAAAGATAAACCTTTCTTTTTTAACCTTTAGATTTAAGTTTTTCGACCTCACACAGGTATACTAAGCATATAAAGCCAGAATATACAAGCACTTATTATGCGCGGAATAGGACACTGAAAGCCAGTCCGTATCCCTTACTTATGCCTTCAGATACTGCTGATAAAGATACACATATTGTTTTATACGAGTTGGAGGACGATGCTGTTGCTGAATCCGTCCCATCTCAAACGTTTCTTCAAAACTGAGAAAGCTGGAGATTCGTCAAGATTTGTTTTGCCAACAACTGGTGAGGCCTTCGCGGCCACGATTCCCAGAACCGTTCGGAGGAAAGGAAGTCCAGGCAGATTCCTCTGACTCACCCAACTTCGAGTCGCTCATTTTTGAACAGCTCACAGGCAGCACAGCTCCCTACTGGAGATTCAGCACAAACGCGGGGAGAGTCGCAGAGATGGGGCATGGGTGTCGCCGAGAGAGCCCTAGCTAACAAATCCCCACCCCCAACTTAGTGGCACTTGGCCAGTTATGTTCCTCCGCTTAGGGAATCCTGGTTCGTCAGCTCCTCACATGATCCAGGCGCACAGCCATGACCACAGGGCTTGAACCTTTAACAGTTCAGCCACTCAGGAGGCCCGGATAACAATGCGAAACAACATTTCACAATCATACCCTAACAGAGACACTGGTAACATGCAGTTCACCACCTTACCCATTTTAGGAAAAGCGTCTGCTTTCGGCCTTGCTCATCTAACCACCTGGGAAGTGTGCAATTTCAACATGCGATCCTTTGCATCCTGACCAACATGTCAGGCCTACATGGCATGTTCTAGTCATCAGCACGTGCCTTAAATGACACCTTATTTTTAACAGGAAATGACATTTCCACCTCCCGTGTGGAGGTGAAACATTCCAATTTATTGACAACATAAGAAACCGATGTCACAGCTACAGCAGGACTGCCTTTCTCAGCACGCTAGGAATCTGTTTGAACATATGAGGTAAACAGAAAAAAAACTGAGTATACAGTACAGTAAAAGCTTTGTGGAAGAATGAATGACTCAAGACTTAAGTGAAAGAAAATATTTAGAAGCGATTTTTTATGGTCTGTGGTGAGGCCGCCGGTTACACTGGGTAAGACAGGAATACTCAATGGTGAAGCTGGTTACAGAGTGCCCACCTGTCAGGGTTTTGACCCATACAGTATGTCCAGATTAAGTTTCCTAGGAACTGAGAAAGGGGAGGTAGAGGTAGGGTTGGCGAAATATAGCAAACACCCCCCCACTCACCTCATTTTGGCTTACTTAGGAAGCAAATCAGCAAAACAAAACCAAGTGGCAAAAGTAACCTCCACACACACACAGTGTCTATAATGTTAGAACCTAGAGAGTTGCAACTCGGTAGTTACAAAAAGACTGAATGTTGCTATTAGGTGTCTATCGTGGATTTACTATCCTATTATTTGTGGATTTACCGTACTTTCACTAGATTTCGAAAATTGAGGAAACGCCATGTACTCAAGGTAGTCATACCAGGCCCACACTGATGGAATGATAACAACGAAGACTCAGGTAACTTTCACAAGAAGACTCAGTAAGAGCTTTGGAGGGATGGGTGACAGGGAACGCACTGGGCTCTGCCCAGTCTTCACTTGACCTCTCTGTTAAAGTTACACAAACGACAGGAAGTGTGTGTGAATGGTTTGGTCATGGGACCTAGGCTTGTGTTCTATTGTTCAAAAACCTTAACAGATGCTAAAAAAAAGAAACGATTCATATGTGTACCCAGAAGACTCCACTTTCATCTCCTTCCAACCTTTTTGTCTCACTACCCAGATCTGAGGGGTGTAAAACGTTCACATCATAATTCCTATTAACTATCGCGTAAGGCGTGTCTTGACGTGCTTACGTCACCCTCAATGAAATAGCCCTATTCAGCAATCTCCAAAAACTATTTTGGCTCAATGTATTATCTCCAGCATCATCAAAATGCAGCTCCCCTAAGCAGACTGGCAGTAACAGTCTATCGCCACAATAACAACAGCACTGTTGTTTCCTCACACTGAAAGAAAAATTCAACTTGATGATAAAGTCAAATGTAGTCTAAAAAAATACAATAAATGTCTTTACGTCACTTTCAGGCTACCCTTCCTGTTTGGCCATATTATAATGTTTATGCCGTGAAACTGCAAAAAAAAGCACTGAAAAACATACAACATGCAAAGTGAAAATCTATGACTCTGTGGCACATTTTACAAAGGACTTCTTCACTTTTTATCAAGGACAAAATCTAATGTTTTTCAATACCATCAATTTCTTGTATACGCAGAAACACCTTTTTCCTTCACCACCTTTATCTCGTGATATTTTTCTCAGTCTATGGTTCGCATTCCCCACATTATGGCAACCAAATTACTTTTCTGCTACAAGTTAAAACTTTTCAGAGTTATCTCCCACTCTACACATAGCAAAAAGGTGAATTTTATAGAGAAAGATACAGAACAGTGTCATCAATCACCTTTACACACCTTTTCAAAATGACTTTTCAGAAACCATTTCTTCCAAAATGAGATAAAATTATACATACAGAAAAAACAGCCACCATGTTTTAAGACACATCAGTCTTATTCAAAACAGAGAAAATGTATTAGTGAAATTTCGTGAAAACTAATGACACTTTCAAACAAATGAAAGAATCCCCCCCAAAATGGAAAAAAACAAACTTATGTTACTTGTACACATGCATGAAAACCACAGATAGGGTTTCAAGAAGGCAGAAGTGTGTTTCTGTTCCTCTCAAAATGTATCCCGTGTAGAAAAAAAGCTACTTTATGAGCTTCTAGAAATGGTTTAATAATTCAACCTTTTCTATACATTCCATTTCAGAAGCATCAAATTGAAATTAGACAATGCTCTCCTGTTCTTCACAAACACATCTGAATATAATTCTTAAATGAGCAAAATGACTGTCACAGACATTAGGTACCGACGTCTCCAAAACTGTTGTTAACTAATTGTTAAAACCACTAGTGAAGACGCTGATTAGGGTTTTCAGCTACTACATATGAGAAAATCAAAGCTCTGTAACTTAAAACATAACACCTAAAATGAAACAGCTCGTTAAAATTTAGGTTTTACAGAGATCTGAGTGGTAACTAGTTAAGTACCAGTGGTACCAAGTTAAGGAAGAGATAGAGAATTGTTGCAAAGTTGCAGAGATATAGCAATGAAGCCCACATCATTTTTCCACTGTCCTTTTACGGGCAACAGACACCCATTCCTTTCTAAACAACCGCTGCCACTTGCACATAATGCTGCTGAATACAACAGAGAAAAGAGAGAAGCAGTTCGGGTTCTTTCTCCCGTTTTCCTCATGTCAAACTACTCTCCGTCTCCCATGATTGTTGCATGATTGAGGAGGGGGGCTGACCAGTAAGTTGGTTTGAAAAGCTGCAGTAAAATCACGATAGCCCCCCCCCAACCCGCGACCTTACCCTGCTTCTTTCTTGGAGGCAATGTGACCACAGCCCTTCGCGGGCCTGATTTCCATGCCCTGTGGAAGGCCTTACAACTTCAAAACGACAGAGCTACCTGCCTACATCCGCGCCACTCGCGAAAGGCAAGAAATCAAAACAAATGACATCGATGGATCAACGACAACGGACGATCGATTGAACTTGACCTAAGTTTGTAAAAACACACTTCTCTACATGAGAGGCGAAATTGCTTTACACTTTTTAGCACCTGCCTGATCCCCCCACGAAGCGTGGAGAGGCGGACCTACCTCAGATCAGGGCTCGGGCTGTAGGACTTTCTGTAGGGACTTCTCGACCTCCGCCGGCTGCTGTAGGGGCTGGATGCAATTTCTCCTTGCTCGTACGGGCTGTGCCTGTTGTAGCTGGGCGATCGGCGCCTGTTGTAGGGGCTGCCGGGCGACCGCTGCCTTTTGTTTGAGTAGGTCCCGGGCGACTTGGACGCGTACGGTCCATAAAGGTCCGCATCTCGGCCATAATAAGCCGGACTTGGGGATCGTCTCCTGTTGCCGTAACTGGGACTCCTCCGGGAGATGAACTGATTGTAGCCAGCGCCGGGAGACTGGTACTCGTACACCTGGCCGTAAGACGATCCGTACGGGCTGTCCTCTCTGACCCCCGGACTCAACGAGTGTCTTTTCCTATAGGCCCTGGGCTCCTCTCGGTCGTCCCTGTAGGCTTTTGGAGTGTCCCTGTAAGCGGAAGGAGTCTCCTTCTCCACTCGTGTCCTGCTTTTGTGTTGCTTGAGCTCCTTTTTGTCCAACGAGGAGAGGGGCAGCGGGGCTTTCTTCTTGCAGTTGCTCTCGCTGTTTCGCACGCCGTCCCTGCCGGGCTTGGCACCACTGCTACCGCTACCGCTGCCGCTTCCGGACTTGGACGCGTCCCGGTCCCTGCTGTGCTGCTGGTCCTTTCTCCGGTGCTCCTTCTCAGGCTTGTTCCTCTCCGCCGAGCGGCTGCTGTGCTCTTTCCTGGGCTGGGAGGAACGGCGATCCTTCCTCGATCTCCTCCCCGGCGAGGAGCCCCTGCTGCTGCTACCGCCGCCGGCGCCGCCGCCGCCGCCGACCACTTCGGCTTCGTTCAGCCGTTGCAGCAGGAGCCGGTGCTGGGGGTCGGGCTTGGGCGAGGGGCTGCCGGAGAACCGCTCCGACTGGGAGCTGACATCGTCGTACTCCACCAGCGTCCTCAGCTCCCCGTCCCTCTCAAACACGCTCCTGCGCTCGCTGCCCGGCTCCTCCGGCAGCTGAAGCTCCCGGTCCCGGCCGTGTCTCCGCTTTTTCCGCCGGGAGGACGACGACCGCGGCTTGTCCCGCTGTTTCTCGCCCTTGGACGACGCACCGCTGCCGAGTCCTTTGCTTCTCCTTTCCTGCCGGGGCTTTTTATGCTCAGAGGGGCTCCGTCCCCGACCCTCTTGCACCGCCTCCGAGCTCGGCATTTATCAATCAGCCCGATCCGCTGCGCGTTTGCTTACCTCTCCTTTGTGTCTAGCGTCCGTATAAAAGTATCTAGATCCCCGTATTCTCAGCGATGCAAAACAACAACCATTTCAATCACCACTTTAAGCACCTGTATCCCGACTGCTGATGTCCCACCGAGCAAAACCCATCCGTTACACAATTACAGATCAAGATGTGACGAAACCAGAATTAAAAAGCCGTCCGTGCAATCCAGCCCATGATGCGGGTATTTCAAAAGATAACTGGAAACCAATTCCACAGCACACGAACTCCGATTAGCGACTGTCCGGGCGCTTCTTCACCGCAAAGGAGCAAAACAGATCCATCGACTTTTTAAAAAGAAAAGTTGTGTAAAAACAAAAATGAAGGAGATCACCCCTCTCTCTCAGTTCGCAAACTTCTCCGTGCCGCTGCCACCATCCCACTCTCCAGGCTAACACGGAAGTGAGAGAAGTGTGTCTCTCCGGCAGAGTTCAGTTCAACTCCGGCACATTCAATAAAACCTCCAACATTTCTAGAACAGCCATCGTTGATTTCCTCCTTCCTTCCTCTCCTCCGGCCGCGTAGAATTTGAAAACCTACTCCGCGATCCTACCCCCCGACTTTTCCCCCCCACACACAAGTTATTAAAAAACAATCAAACTGCAAAATATTTTGGAGGAGTCTCGGACCGCTGGTTACTGGGCTGCCTTCTGTCGCTCCGCTACGTCACGGGCATAAAGGAAACCCCTGACACCAGTTCACAAGTTCCTCCCCGAGCAGAAAAACAAGGTCCTGAAAAAATCAAACTAAAACAGACTCCGGCGTTTCACACCAAACCCTCTTTATTTTTTTTCCTGGAGGGGAGGGGGAGCGGGATAATGCGGGAAGTTTGAAATCTTGCAAAGGAATACGGATTTCGCCTGCGAGTTAAAACGGTGGCCTGTGCCGGAGGATTAAAATCGGGAACCACAGAGAGAATGAGAGCTGCGACATGGCCGCTTCCCTTCTGCACCAGTGTGTACCGGGAACATCCGGTTACAGAAAGATTGCACGGGGGTCAGAGGTCGCCGCAGACAGAAAGAACTTCCTGCCTTGGTTGAACGCGAAGTGGTACAAAGTTTGCCAAGGGGGGAATGGTAGCTCTTTGCTTTGCAGATTTTTTTTTCCTGTCGGAATTCTCATTTCAGGTTCATGCCTATTAAATTCCCTTCGGCTTCTGTCTTTCCCACTGGAAATTCACGAAGGAGATACCAGTATCAGCTGTTATACGTGAAAACGTATACTTATTCTTGAATTGCTGCAGGCTTGGCAGCTATTTTTCAAAACACTCTAATCAAAATATTAGCTATTTCCTTGTTAGCAACAATAGCTGTTCATATTCTGGATAGTCTGTCACTGGAATTTACACCTTTGAAATACAAAAAAAACGTCTTCACTAATCACTACTGCATTCCCAGCAAAAAAAAAGTATAACCTCAAATTTGTGCTTGCAATAAGTTCTGCCCTTTGAAATTCTTCCTCATTTATTGTGCACGTTCTTATATGCAAAAAAAGTAAATAAGTTATATTTATTTTGGCCTAGGTTTTTAGAACAGGACTACTTGAATTACCTTTTCAAACACTACAATATGTACAAAAGTGTAAACAGCTTGAATAAAGATCATTACTTTGAAAGTCTTAAACTAATCCAATGGTTTTTTTGTGTTTTGAAACACTCTTCCAAAGATAAATATTAACTAAGGAGTAAACAAAACATTTAAAGTAAAAATCACTTCAGAAGATAAATATTAACTAAGGATGAAAAAATATTTAAAGCATAAATCACTTTAAAAGATAACAGAGAAAACAACAATGTACTTCAGTTGATTTCTCAGTGAGCCAAGGGGCTGGTTGCCATCATTTTTCTGAACCGAACCACAAAGTGGATGTTCTCCAAATAGTCTGGCATGTACTATTGGATAAAATGACACTGTAGATTAAAATTAGTAACTAGAAGGTTCACTTCACCACAAATATTGGTTTGCATCTGTTTCACTGTTATTCAAATAGGATACTAAATAGTAAAGGGACAATATCATTCAATATAATTATATTCTAGCCATTTGCTATACATATAAGATTAGATCACTTTATTAGCCATATACAATTTCTTGTATTAGGAATTTTTTTATTAAATACCCCAAACAGCTCTCCATGAGACACACAGGCACACACAGACAGGGAGAAAAGCTTGGGGTCATAGCGCAGGGTCAGCTATTTATATGGCGCCCCTGGAGCAGTTGGGGTTAAGGGCCTTGCTCAAGGGCCCAACGGAGTAGGATCCTCTGTGGGCCGCTGGATACAAACCGGCAGCCTTCCAGCCACAGGCGCAGATCCTTAGCCACAGAGCCACAGCACCGCCCCATTAAAGAAACGTACATACCAGAGGATGGTTTCGATCCATCGACCTCTGGGTTATGGGCCCAGCACGCTTCCTCTGCGTGCGACTTAAGTTCATGTGACTAAGTTCATGCAGATATGAAAGAGATACAGCCAGGACCTTTAGATTTTCCCTGGTGTTTCTGAACTTGTGTATCTGCAGTGGTGAGTCACCTTTATGGCCCTGCAGGACTAGGATTGAAGACTACTAGTCTAAGACTATGAAATATTATGGCTATGACATATGACATATGACAAGACTATGACATATGGCCAGCAGCCATATCACCCTGCAACTCACAACTAGCAACCCACTGAAGCTAAGCGGTTGTGAGCCTGGTCAGTACCTGGATGGGAGACCTCATGGGAAAAACTAAGGTTGCTGCTGGAAGAGGTGTTAGTGGGGCTAGCAGGGGGCACTCACCCTGTGGTCCATGTGGGTCCTAATGCCCCAGTATAGTGATGGGGACACTTTACTGTAAACAGGCGACGTCCTTTGGATGAGACGTAAAACCGAGGTCCTGACTCTCTGTGGTCATTAAATATCCCAGGGTGTTTCTCGAAAAGAGTAGGGGTGTAACCCCGGTGTCCTGGCCAAATTTCCTATTGGCCCTTACCAATCATGGCCTGCTAATAATCCCCCTCTATGAATTGGCTACATTACTCTGCTCTCCTCCCCACTGATAGCTGACGTGTGGTGAGTGCTCTGGCGCACTATGGCTGCCGTCGCATCATCCAGGTGGATGCTGCACATTGGTGGTGGTGGAGAGGCGTCCCCATTACCTGTAAAGCGCTCTGAGTGGAGTGTCCAGAAAAGCACTATATAAGTGTAAGCAATTAATTGTATTATTATTAAGATGAGAGGATGCCTCTGTAAACTACTATGCTCAGGTTTGCTACAAAGCCCATGAATAAAGTTGTAGAAAAGTCTAGTCTGGGAAAGAGATGAAAATCCATCAGCTAGTAAAGAAGGCTAAGAGTGATGTCTGTCATTGTTTCCCATGAGAAATTATCAATATGAAAACAATAAAGAGCTATCTGAAGATACATATCATTGATTGTTATGAAGCCAGGGAACAGGGAAAGTTTTCAAGGCATTTGAGAGGCTCATTTGCAACTTCTGTTTTTATTATAAAAAAGTACTGCCAAAGGCACTGGTCTGGAAGAAAGAAGGTTCTTTCAGCAAGAACATATAGGCTCAGGCATCTTGGTTTGCATGTTCACTAATGGTGTTACAAATGAAAAAAAGAATATGAAAACAGGGTAAAGGAAACCTTAAATGGTGAAAGAATATTTTATTACTCACATTTCATCCAACTATTATTATGTTTTTTTGTTACATGTTACATTTTTATGTAAGATGCAGACTGTGTAATTTGCTGATGTTTTCCATTAATTATTAATATAGGACTATATAATATTATAATATTCAGTAAATAAAACAAAATTATAAACAATAAAACTCTTTTGTCAAATTAAGAGAGATTTTACTTCAGAGAAAGAATAAAAAGCACATCCTTACACAAAGTTGTCAGTGTCTGGAAAATAGGTTTTCCTGCCAGATAGTTGAGGCTCAAATTCAGGGCTCTTTAAAAAAAACATGTGGATACATTTTAAAGCAAGCTAGGATGAGTGGTTCTCTCTTGTTATGTAGCCACTTAAGTTTTTATCTGCCTCTTGGCATAGTGGCAGTGGGATCACACCCCTCTCTGGACACTCAGCACAAAGTAGTTCCTCTTACCTCCTACCACCTTTCAAGCTCTGCACTGGAGGATAGTGGAGGGGAATGAGGTCATCTCTGCTCCTGGGAAGCTTAAGGAACCTCATAATTGACCTTCTTCGGGCAGTCAAATAAAGCTTTTGAGCTACCTCTGACAAGGCCTTTTACGAGGCTCATGTCTCCTGTAGATAGCTTTGTTATGAATGGGGTGTCTCTCCTCCAGTCCAAAGCCAAATTTTCACACAGCTTTTTTCTGTCCTTGTTTCATAAAGAAAACAAAAAGCACTGCCACCATTAGCCACCAGAGTGTGATGTACCAAGACCACAGTCTTAACTGCTGACATGTTCCATCATGTCATCTCCACACTGTGCAGTGGCGATAATCTTATAAATAGGTGAGACTTCAAGAAACAGACACACCAACACAGAAATAAGGTGCAAAAACTTTAATTAGAGCTCAGTGAAAATGAATACAAGAAAAAAAGCCTAACAGTTTCTGAGCTCTTACTAAACTACTTCAGTTTTGTAACTCAACTAGTTATTGTAATTCCAACTCGTTTTTTTATCATGGGAATTAAGCATCCTTGCTTAAAAAAATACATTTCAAATACATTTTTCTATAGATCAGTATTTGACCTGCAAGTAATTTAAAATGAGGTATAAGTAGTTTGTATCAGTTTGTGTAGTAATAATATTGTCAAGAACAGTACTGGTGCACAGAAGTGTCTTAATTAACACGTCTCTCTTCCAAATGCTTTAAGATTGTTTTGTAAAACAAAACGTAAACTAATGAAACAAGACATACTTTTATGTTGTATGTATGTGCAGTTGTATAAAAAGAATATACTGTGAGTTCAAACTGAGTACCAGTTCCAAATAATACAGTTCTTGAATATTTCCTGGGAACTTTTTAACATACAGTACAGCTCCTGGAAGGGAGGCTGGCAGACGTCTGAATGGATGTACAGCTGTACAGCTTACTGCTTCCAGGTGGAGAGAGTTGGCCTTGTTGCATTTATTCTTCAGTCAGCCATCAGTTCCCCTTGGGTGGAGGTCTTTTCTTGGAGCAGATACCTACTTGTGGACTCCCTGTTTCCCCATGGATTAGGCTGGGCCAAAGGCACAGCAGAGCTGAGTAACAGCTGATGTCTGAGTTACATGAAAGGTTTTGGATTGCAGTTGGGATTTTCTCTCTCCCTTTTTTGGCACTTAGACAAAAATTGCAAAAGTTTCCCAACAGAGAGAAGAAATTCAGGTTGTTCATTGTGATGAGAATCATGTTTCTGCAGGATTTGGTATGACGTTTCTTTACATTTGGCATTAAAATCTATAATTCCTAGAGCACCATAGAGAGCTGTGTGAGGACCAATTCTTTCAAATGTATGTCAATAATTTACAACCTGTTAGAGCGAGTAAACCAGTCACAGTAGCAGATGATACCAAAACAAGAATAGAAATAACTTTAAAAGCAGTGGAACTAACTGGACAAACTGAAACTCATTGGGCAATGATTGGGCAAACATCTGGCAGATGACAATGTAGTCAAGTGCAGAGCGTTGCATACAGCTGGCTTAAGTATAATATGGAAAAGTCAAAACCTGAAGACCTGACCAGTGAGATAGACTTAAGAGTTTACAGAAACCTCTATCATCTCAACAATGTGGAGGAGCAATATAAAGCCAATTATAGTTAAAAGCTTAGAATTTAAATCAAGGGGTGTCATGGTTGGGCAGCATAATAGCACCGAGGTTAGCACTGCTTCCTTAAAATAGTGCTGGGTTCAATTCAGACCTGGGGCGCTGAGTGGAGTCTGTATTCTCTCCCCATGTTCGAGTGGGTTTCCTCCCACCATCCAAAAACATAAAATACGTACTTAATTAACTGGCTTCTAGGACAAATTGGCCCAGGTGTGAGTGTGTCTGTCTGTGTGCCCTACAATGGACAGGTGCCCTGTCCAGGGTGTACCCTGCATTACATCCATTGCTTGCCAGGATAGGCTCTGGCTTCTCCCCAACCCTGAATTACAGTTAGAAAACAGGAGGATAATCGTAAAGATGTGCAATACACCCGAGCTAATAACCTTTGTTTTTGTTTCTATACAGAATTTATGGAAGTTTTCAGACGTTTTCACATTTTTTCATAAAACATACAACACCTCCTGGCACATTATAGGCCAGCCTATACTGTAGGATAAGCTCTGGCTTCCTTGCAACTCTTTAATTGGAAGAAGCAGTTAGAAAATTCAATTCAATTCAAATGAACGGATGGATGGATGTCATGATTGTACAGAACACTTTTAATTCATTTAGAATATTGTAATAGTTTTGGTCTCCTTTCAACAAAAAGAGATTGCTTCTTCATGCAAAGGTGAGGCTGGAACAAGACACCCAGTTGTGTCTTCAGAGCCAATACCCTGGCTCAGATCCTCAGATGGATGAGCTACAAAAAGCCAAAAGCGCTAGAGAAACAGAATAATCTCCTCGTTTCTCCACTTCTTTCTCCCACTTCAAATTTTCAGTTTCTTTTCTCCTCTTCCATTTTCCCTCACCGAACTTTCACCAAGCTTTCCATGGTCTCACTTTTTCCCTTTCCTTTGGAAGACCCCGCTGTAAATTCACCCAGTGGATGCCACGAGGACTTTCAACCCAAATGAATTAAAAACGAAGCAAATACAAGCTCTAAAAAAGGGTAGTTTATTTTTATTTCAGTTTCTTTTCTTTTTTTTCTCCTCACAAATGGCTCAAAGTACAGCAGTTCAAAGGCGCGGGTTAAAGGGCGTCGGCCTCAGACGGGTGGCGATCACATCGAGTTAGCGTCATTGCACCTCGGTACCCACTTTACACGTCAAGAGCAAGTCGCCAGATGAGTGGTTTTAGGATCCCTGATTAAACAGGACTCATTAAAAACCTGTAGCTATACAACAAAGCGTCTACACAACACCTAAAGAGAGAGAGGGACCGGCCAAAAGGGAAATTCATCTGACAGCTCAGGTTGACAGCTGAGTATACAAAAAAAAGAGAAATAATATACAAATGGGGAAAAAAAAAACTCAATTTCCTCAGACTTTGAGCAGAAATTATGCATCACTTTATCGACGTGCGCACATATACACCTGTTTAAGTACGAACTGCCACAGAGATATACACGCATTGAGTATTTCTGGAGCCTCCTAACTTTTTCTTTTTTCCTTTTGAAATGATTCTGCTGCAGCAAGCAATTCGGTAAAGGTAGGAAACCTCAGACAAATCTCCATAAGTGTTCTTGAACAGCTCTGCACTGCCCAAAACAAATTCAGCACAGGCCATAGGCTCTCAAAGTCCTATGTCGGGCAAATGTGAAGCTCGGTCTTTGCAACTGCTTTGATAGAAGTGTTCTTTTTTTCAAACCCTAGAACATCCCCACCAAGGCTTTGTAGTCTAAATGTAATAAAGAAATAACAGCTGCCAGTTCCGATGTAACTGAAGCTCCTAGCCTATTCCTTTCAAATCGTCTCACACAGAAGCCACTAGATTTAGAAAGTAGCATTCGCGAATTAGCAAAAAAAAAAAGTTTTTTTGTTTTCCGTAACAGATGCATAATTCGAGATAACAAAAAAGCTAGAACGTCTAAGCATTCAAGGCAATAATATAATGCCCAGACAGGTGAATCAATACAAGGGAGAGTCTAACTGTAATTCAAGTTACCCAAAGCTTTCAGTTTCTGAAGAGTTTTCATTGAATATCAGACAGTCCTTGGCTCTACTTATCTGTGGCGGGAACACGGGGCAAGGGATTACTTAAAAATAAAGATTTCCCGTCAGCCTTCTGTAGTAGACTGGACTTGGAAGCCTAGAAGGAAGAAACCCTTGTCAGTCTGCATTAAAGTGCTTTTTGTTTCATTGAACCCTATTGGTGCTGTATTTAAAAAATTAATACGTAGTTTTGATTTTACTCAAATACACCATAATTCTCAAAGACCTGCACAATAATAAAGGGCGGATTTAAATTGTTTAGAAATCAAATAAATGAATGGGAATCATGCCCATTCCAAGGGTAGGACCAATGTTTTGGGTAACAGCTCCGTTCAATAAAACACTTAAAGTGAGAACCAGCGATAGAAAACAAATGAGATCTGGATGCCTTTTCCTCTTTTATGCCCATGCAGGTGTGGACTCATTCTCATTCACACTCAACTGCAGAGAAGACATTCGGACCACTTAGTTCAGACCTGAGTTATAGTTCACTTACATTTCAGACAAAGCATTTTTTAAAGCATGTCACAAATTTTTGGCTGCAGGGCAGAAAATGGGAGACAATGTCGTTTAGTTTAAGTTTTCTTTTAAATGTACAACTGAACGACTTACAGTCCAAGTGGGTGTTATTTCTTAAAAGACTTCAAGTACTACATTAGTGTTCTATAATGGATTCCTGATTAACTTGAAAGAATTCTGAAGCAAAGATTTTGAGCCAATTAAAATCATACAAACCAAACAGTACTAAACAGAAATTACATAAATAAATTAGATTGATTTTGATTAGTATAATGTCACATGGGGAAAAACGTAGCGTTGTTCTGTTCAGCTTCATAATATTTGCAACTGGAATAGTGTTTTAAAACATCCCTTGATTTTGTTAGGAAATTTCAAGCAATGCCATAAACTATTTCTGTATTCTCTGAGTATATACTTTACAATAGCAAGTTAATTTAGTCAATAAATTGGATTGTAAATGCATGGTAAAGGTGTCACTGGGCTTTCACAGGTTCACTCCAATATATTTCTTTGAAAAAAACTCAGTTGCAGTCAGTGTCATTACTAACCAGTCAATCTCAAAGCACTGGTTATAGATTTTCGTCAGAATCTATTTTTAGCAACACTTTCCAGTGTGTGAGGAGTGAATCTTTCAAAGATTAATTCTGGTGACAAAAACATTTTTAAAAATTCAATTAACAGCAAAAGAAACTTCAAAGCCAACTTATATATTCACAAAACATCATAACTAAATTGTTATAAAATATTGTTTTTAGTCATGAAGGCTTATTAGAGATATATTTCAGAAGGTGTTGTACGTGTTTAAGTAGACAAGGGAAATGTTTAAAAATCTAACATTTAAAAATAATCTGGAAATGGGATTATACTGTAATGACATCTTCTTAATTGCTTTATCATTAATATCTGGAATCATCAGTCTGGAAACAGTCAATCTCAACATCTGACCTGTGCAGAAGACAGCTTTCAAAATGTCTATGGTTCCACCCAGTAGGTTTAGTATCCTACAGGTTTCTGAGCATTGCATCTTAAGTTAAGAATATACTTGTGAAGTCAGTAAACTGTAAACATGACCTTCTGAGAATAACAATACAGGCCAACCCCAAGGTCTCCAGGCCTATGGCACACATTGAAAGTTCAAACAAACATCTTTCAAACTACTTAACAGGATCATATGCTAAAATACTAAAATGAAGAATCTCACTTCACACCATCAATGTTGCAACCTGCAGGGTTGTAGGATTTTCTTACTTAAGGCATAGAAATATTTGAGTATGTCCAAGTTTTTCAAAGCCTTTTTTTTGTTACTAATTCAGTTTCTCTTTACACAGTAAGTTAAATGTGAGAAAACAGACAAAAAGGCAGTATCTGACTTACACGCTCCGCATTGCATACAAGGAGACTGCTAGGAGGAGTTCTGTGGTATGATGCTTTTTCACATTCATATTTAATGTCAAGGCATCTGATGTTAAAAGCAGACATCAGTGGGATATAGACGTGAAGCCTGCGGCCCCCTATACCTCCATGAATATGAAAGACATTGGTTTGCTTGTAAGCCAAAGGACATGAAGATCTTGACCAAACAGAATTCATGATAAAAATGCTCACTGTGCTTGTTTTCCTGGCACCTCACGAAAATTTTTTTAGATCAAAATACATTTGCCTCCTGAGGAGCTCCGAGTTCACAAGTACTGTCCTTAATTTACGTTTTTAAAGTGGTGTTCCCCTCCCCCCCCCACACACAAAAGAAATATCCATCTGATATTTCGTATCTCACATCTGCTACCAGGCACGCAAACAAACCGACTGCTCAAGAGGCAGAAAGGACAAAAAAAACCATAAAAACTATATTAGAGAGGTCTTCAGCTCTGGCCATTATAAAATGCAGCATCGCTCTCTGATTCTCTTAGCGAGGCTTTTTCTCTTCTTCTTTCCATTCTTTTCCTTGCTGTCTTCCATTTTCCGTGCGCGGATCTCTCTCATTAGATCGAAGAACACCTGGAAAGCAAAGCGGACAGACAGGCCTTTATAACAAACTCGTAAACAAGCCAGAACCAAAACTCCAAATCTTTCAGCTACCAGAAAATGGAGACAGTGTTAAAGTCATCCATGACAGCAGGCTTTCAGGCGCACAATGCATCAGAAGCCGAGAACTACAATCTAAGAACATTAGACAGCCTCTTGGGTTATTCTACTTAGCACGTAAATCTTCTACAAAAGTGGGAAATAATCATTCAATTTCTTAATGATCTAACTTATTGAATCCGTCTATTTTTAGTTAACAACAGCTAGTGTTAAGAACAGCTATTCCCTCAAACTCAAACTCTAGAAATTAAAGATTTCACACAACAGGAAATGTCAAATATGCGGAACCTGAAACTGGTAACCGATGTACATTTTCAAAAATGTACTGATTGATGCTTGACCAAAGGGGCAGCAGGAAACATGAGCAATGGTTATGCACAGCAGATAGTAGGTTCACAGGCTGTGTCCTCAGCTGTACAAAGGACTGCAAGCACTGCAGGGAGCTTAAACTCTGAAGTACTGGTGTCCCAGTCAGGGTAAGACTGAATTCGGGGGTAGGACTGCACTCTCAATGTCACATTGCAGAAACTGGAGTAACCTGCAGCTCTATTTTATTGGTGCTGCAAACTCTGGGGAACTCTGGGGTTGTAACACATACATTCTAACTGAAACATACTGTGAATATGTAAGTATTTACTGTATACTGAATTTTGAAAACACAGAAATTAAAAAAAGATTACTATTATTTGTAATAGAATAACAAACATAAAAACTGTACACCTTTTTTTCTTAAGAAAAAGGGACAATGTTTTCCCGCTATACACTGGGCTCTTTATTCAAATCTTTTTCTGCAAATTCTGTAAAAGCAATGATTTTTTTCTGAAGGCTGTAATCTTCACCATAAGCTGTCAAAGTGGTGAAAACTGATGATTACAAATGCCTCTTATTCAACTCAGTAATATATTTGTTTCTGAACTTCTGAATTTGGTATATTTCTTTTAAGAAGTGTTGGTAATACAGTAATTGTGTTAAACACTTAAATTGAGCTTTATGTCTTCTTTTTGGAGAAAATGGCTATTTTTTTCTAGATGTCAATATTAGCATACTTTGTTGGAAAAGAAACAAATCCCAAAATAACATCCGGGAAACTGAACAGTTGATTGAAAGAGGATGAAAAGGACAGTTTAAAAATTACATCTACCGTCCTTTAAAACAAGCAGATGACCTATGAGAAAATGATCTAGAGCAAAACCAATTGACACGGGGCTAAATGTCACCAGCTCTGGTAATAATTCCAAAACCTCATGTTCCTTCTGGGATTTTTAGCCTTGTGTAAAACAGGCTTTTCCTTCCATCAGGGCTGAACTCCTATTTAATCCTCTGTGTGCATTTATTTTTTGCCAGTAAAATCTGTATCAATTCATCAAGTCCATCCTTAAATTAAACCTGGGATGCTGTGTGCCACTTTAAGAGTTAGAATTTTTAAAACAGATGCACGTTAAGAAAAGGGGGACAACATATAAAAAAAGCTTGGTGGTCTAGTGAGCCAGGTGGCTGGTAAAGAGTATAATGTTAAAGGCACCAGCATCGTGCGTCATTACCTTGTCCACATTGGCACGTGTTTTTGCAGACGTTTCCACATAGTTGACACTCCACTGCTCGGCCCGCGACTTCGCCTCCTCCACAGACACCTGCCTCTTGTCCTCCAAGTCCGACTTGTTTCCCACCAGGAGAAACGGCACGTTCTCGTCCTCCTTCACTCTCAAGATCTGCTCCCTGCGGCGGCAGAAGAGAAAAGGCGAGACACCCAGCCTGTTAATTGCAATGACTTCTACCAAATGTGAACGCGACGGTTTTTAAAGAGGACTGCCAAGTCCCATCAGCCTGATGGGCGGGTCCTGTGCCGTAGTCTGTTCAAATACAGAAAGCAGCTTTAGGGTTTCCGCTGTGGGAGTGGAGTTTGGTTCACCAACAGCAAATGTTTCAAACAAAAAAAAATTCACATGATTTTGCCTGATCAAACCTGCACTTTTTTAAATAAACCTCTGCAATGGCTATCAAATCACCTCTAGGTTTAAAATACAACATCAGTTAAAATATACTTTGTAGTTTGAACAATGGGAGCAATAACAAAAACACGAAAAAAGAACAGAAGTACTGGAACTGTGTGTGAAAATAACAGAATGGTGGTAATGGTACTGGCTCTGTGAGGACTTCCATGCAGTGCACTCCATAGTGAAATCTAAACAGGGATGTTCACTATGACCTTTAATTATAATAATTTCTCAATAAGAAACATGACTGATTGTACATCTTCTAAGTATTTGTATTAAGTCAACTGAAGTTAACGTTCTTAGTCAATTAAACAAAATTATAGTCCTAATTTCTGATCCTTGAACGAGCAGATGTACCAGCTAGGAACCTGAAAAGCCCCAGTCCAGCAAATTTTATAGGGCACTAACTTAAATCTCTGATTTCTAAAGACTTGGAACAAGCCAGCCAAAGATCAGTGTGAAAAATCCACCCAGTGAATTGTTTAAATTTAAAGGTCTCCATGGACCAGAGTCATGTCATTTCATCTTAATTAATCAATATCACACAGGTGACCTAGAAGACTAAGTCGACTGGGGTTCTCCAGAACCAAGGATGAAGATCCCTGCTGTAGGTTTTTTTTAAATATTGAGAGGATTTCCACAGATGTACCAGCAAAGGGAGTATCGGTGTAATAAGAGAGTGATCAGTTTAACGCGATAACGAGTTTATAGTTATCAACAACCATTTTTGCTTCTTTTTCCCCAATAAAGTTAAAACAAAGTCAGAGATTGTGTGTTGTAAACTATTTAAAACCAGTTTCACAAACCTGAACTTTAATTAAAATGGAAAAAGTAACAGCCTGAAGCAGAATGATATTTTGAAAGGATTACTGTTCCCACCCCAGGGCTAGGTATCCAGCTGAATTCCAGTCAAATGCGTCATGGTATTATTACACAACCTTGCCTGGCTGTCTCTGTGATTATCCCCCAGACTGTTTTGTTTTTTTCATGAAGCTTCACGAAGCATGGGATTCTGTTTTATATCATCATTTTAATACCTCAGTTTTCGCAGTAAGCACACAACTTGGGGTGGATTATATCTGCAGAATAGTTCATACACTACATCGCACAACCTGACGACGGTGCTCAGAAAAAGATTTTAGTCAAGACTGACAGAAACGTACTGCCGTGTCAGCCACTTATGACCGTTGTCCAGCACACCCCAGCAGTTGAGGAACAATATGCTTTAACAGCATCAACAGAATTTTGGCTAGGAGGCACCTTGTCGTCGCTTTCGAATTTGAAATCCCCCAATTACATGACGAATGATTATGCCCACTGCTTTAAAACGTTGCTCTCTGGCAACGGCTCCCACATCTGCGAAGGAGAAAATAAGACATGGGGACAGTCTCTTCCAGCGCGCCCACATCATCAGAAAAGTGAGCGCCAAGTGGAAAGACTGGTGGATTGCTCACTGATGTCGCCACAAGCCTGTAGGCACCTGTCCAGCACATGGGAGGTACCATTTGCTGGAAAGCCATGGGCTCTGGCCAACTGCTCCAGCACTGCTGACTTGCAACCGCCATTTGGGAAGGCCTGGTCAGCCAGCAACATGACCAAGACCTGATCAGCAGTGTTGAACAGTGGTTAGATCTGACCTAGTCTAAGAACTAGAAGGTTGTGGGTTTGAATCCCAGGTGAGATGCTACTGCTGTTCCCTTGACCAAAGCACTTCACACGGATTGCTTCAAGAAAATGCCCAGCTGTAGAACTAACTGTTTAAGTCACTCTGGGCAAAAGCATCAACCAAATGAATCATAATTAATCATAGAAAGGTCAAAGCAACAGAGCCCAACTTGTGTTTGAAGCCAGCGCAGTTTCTGCCTGAGCCCTGGTTATTTCATTTCTTATGCGAGAAAAGAGCAGCAAAAAAAAAAAAAAACTATTGCAATTTGAAAGATCTCTACAGGGTCAAAAATGTTTTCTGTGTCTGGGTTACGCTTTGGGTGTAATTTACACATTCCACCCAAATGAAGTTACAGCTATGGTCTTTGAATCAGATTCATATTTTAAACTAATGTACCAGATTAAAAATGACAAATCTGTCATAATTGAAACTGAATTAAAAGAAAAAGAGAGACCTGAACAACTAATGGTATACTTACACCATTTTAGTATCCACAAAACCTCAACGTTATTTTGACTATGTATTATTATAAACAATATATTAACCAAAATACACATTTATTTTTATGCAGACCTCAATTACTTTTCAAATAAGTATGTATTTTGTCACCTTCTGTGTCAGTATAACACGCAATACTAAACCTGCTTTGAAAATAGTACTGTAATAGTGCTTTTTCAGCATGAACCTGTCAGTTTCCATGGAAACACATCCTTCATGTTCTGAAAAAAAAACTACCAAGAAATGTTTTTTGGCATATACAGTACAGTATATACAAATAAAGACATGCATTGAAGGGACCTTCAACATATTTTGAGGTCCAATATCAGCTAACAATATTTTGAAAAGTAGTTTTATTTATTTTGATTATCAAAAGGTTTGTTTGTACACATTACTTGATATATTATGTATAACTAAATAAAAACAAGAATTCAAAAACATCCCAAGGCATGTGTAAGGCCTTCAACTATGAATTTATAACAAATGTTTGTTGTAAAACAAATTGTAAAAGCCAATCCAGTTAATGTTGATCAAAACAGCATGATTTATAACATTGTTATTTCTATGCAGTCAACTGAAGTATTTTCAAATGCAAAATACTGCGTTTGTTAAATATAATTTCTTATACTCGGAAGAAGCAAAAACTATGCACTGATGCAACATATTTAAAACCCCAGCTCTATGTCCTAACTGCAAACAGCAGTGGCACACAAACCGGACAACGGCAAAAACGTTACACACAAGAGCAGACCCTTCTGGCCATCAAGCAAGCTTGGTTTCTATTAACAACCTGATCTGAGAAGCACATACAGCAGCTTCGTGAAACAAAGTTATCGGCTCTGACAGCGTGGCTGTGCAGCTTGTTCTAGATGACCAGAGACCTCTGCTAGTGGCTCCACCACCCTCAGGAACAGCAGCTAATCCAGCTCCCAGCTTTAAGCACACTTCTGTGCATGTCTGCTTTCAGGTCTGATGTTAGGTCTAACCCGGTTATTTTACACGATTTAACAATCCTTCGGGGCACAGCCCCTCTTGACCTACCTCGAGAATTTTGAGAATTCAAAATTAAATGAAAGCTCTTATTGAAGTGTTTACCCTCAGCCCTACACTCAATCCATGCCGACATGCATGAATTGAATGAGCACTATGGGTTGGTTGTCGTACCTAGTTCATTGGTTGTCGTACCTAGTTCATTGCCCTTATTATAGACAATCTGTCTTGACACAGCTTCTCCTTCGAGTGCTTTGTCCAATTGCCGGAGTGGTTACCTGAAGTCTGCCGTGGCCGCAAACGACTCGAGCTCCGTGATGGAGAAGACGCAGAGGAAGCCCTCCCCGCTCCGGAAATAATTGTCCCGGATGGCGGCGTAGTCCTCTTGTCCAGCAGTGTCCAGGATGTCAATCTGCACTTCCTCCCCATCCAGTACCACCTTCTTCCTGTAGCTGTCTGCTTTGGTGGGCTCATAATCCTCTACAAACTTGGAGAGCAAAACAAAAAAAAAGCACAACAGGTGACCACAAATACAAACACTGCATGACAGGAGATTCAACTAAAAAGATCAAACCGGACACAGAAAGTCTCTCACAGTTACCTTAATTCTTTAGCAAGGATTAATCCAGTATTTCTCAAATGCAGTGCCTGGTGCCCACAGACCAAACAGGAGTTTTAAACAGAAGGACTAAGAAAATCATTTATACTTTACTGTGATTCACAGTTACTCCTACACGCACAAGAAAATGACTGATGGAACCCAATCCAATTGATTGAAGGGACAAAAACAAATATACTTCTGGATAACAGTTCTTAAAATAGTGCTCACGTCATCAACACATCAGATTCAACAGCCGCTTCTCCAGTTTAGGGTTCCAGAGCCTATCCCAGGGAACAATGGCACAAAGCAGGATACAGCCTGGATGGGATGCCAGCCCATCGCACGGCACCCACGGGCCCAAACGCAAACTCACAGCATGGCCAAACTCACAGAAACCAAATAACCTACCAGTATGTCTTTAAACTTCCAGAAGAAAACCATGGGAACATGGGGATAACATGCAAACTCCACACAGACAAAACCCCAGGAATTGAAGATGCCACCATGCTGCCCTAAAACAGCCTTGGTTTTCTCCAGTGACTTGACATAGGACTAGGACTGCAGGGCCACTGCTCCCCAGTCAGATGAGTCTCTCTGCTACGGCTGAATATATGAATTACGATCGAGAAAAGGTATCTGACTTCACATCACAAATAATCTGTACATCTCTCTCTACGTGAAGTTCAATAATGAATCTTTTCGAGACAAAATTGGCCAAAAAGTAAAGATTCTGGATATGCTGCAAGGAGTTATGAGTGTCCTCACCTTTCAGGACTCAAGTTTGAGCATTTAATTTTTTTTACTTATCATATATATGTAAAACTAATTAATGTTACTGCTTTATTGTACAATTTATTTTTATGATGTTTTCATTTTATACACTGTTCAGTGTAGGTAGTGCCATTAATTTGTGTGAATATGGATGACAGTTTTTGGCCCTGTTGACAATTTCCTACTTATAACCTATGGTGATAGTTTTCTTGAAGCACAGATTTTGCTTACTGCTGCCCTTTTTGGAGGAATGCCACTCCCGTTTTTGACAAAGGTCAGCAGTACTTGCAGTTACTGTAACAATAATCTAAAAATGAAAGTAAAGAGAAAAGGGAGTTTCAGAAAGGGAAAAATGCACGTTACGAAAGGAAAACAGTCCATTTTGAACCTGACAATCGCTGGCTCTACAACAAGTTGGTTCAGAGAGACCCCTGTTCAAACAGGTATGGCTGTTTTAGTGAAAATCGTCTGAGGGAAATATTCAAACTTGGCACCCCTAGCTTGTCAGCTGCTGTGTAAAGAGCTCAGCGATTTTAAACATAGTCATTGTGGTGTGTGGGACACTGGACATGTTCAAAATCCCGGGAACCGACACCATCTTACCTCATCATACATGAACTGCAGAGTCAGTGCTGACTTTCCCACACCGCCACTGCCAACCATGATCACTTTATGCAAAGCCAGGGAATTCTGGCCTTTGGGCTTGTTCGCTGCCATCCTGGGAGAGATGAGGTACAAAATCTACCGGGAACGCAGGGCAAAGTGATTTATCTGGAAGACAAAGAAAAAAAAGCTTCAGAAACCAGCACCACGCCTTTCACAAACAAGTGATTAGAGTAAACTGTATTGTAAAAGCCAAGTATATGCAGGAGGTCCGAAAGGCAGACTTTCACTTTGCACTTTCAGACACCATCCCTAGGGATGAGGAACCATGATTCATTGTGATTCACTGGGAAGTTAGTGACTGATTTCATCTACACCAGTCCTCCCAGTTTCCCCCATCTTCATCACAGAAGAAGCAGGCATGGACTTGTAAAATGTGCATCAGCAAATTAAAATGCCAAGTCTTGCAAAGCAAATCCAACAAGGCTGTTTTATGGACTGACTGAGAAGAACTGAATTTCTTTCTTATATACCATTTGATATAATCATCTTATACAGAGCTTTTCTGGACACTCCACTCAAAGCGTTTTACAAGTAATGGGGACTCCCCTCCACCACCTCAATGTGTAGCCCCTCTGGATGATGCGACGGCAGCCATAGTGCGCCAGAGCGCTCACCACACATCAGCTCTCAGTGGGGAGGAGAGCAAAGTAATGAAGACAATTCATAGATGGGAATAATCAGACCATGATCGGTAAAGGTCAGGGGGTAGTTTGGCTGTGACACCCCTAATCTTTTTGACAAATGCCCTTAAATAATTTAATTAACACAGAGAGTCAGGTAATTGTTATGCTTTTTTCTTTACAGGAAAGTATCCCAATTACTATACTGGGGCATTAGGACTTACACAGACCACAGGGTCCTAATACCTCTTCCAGCAGCAACCTTAGCTTTCCCAGGAGGTCTCCCAACCAGGTACTGGCCAGGCTCATACCCACTGAGCTTTAGTGGGTTCCCAGTTGTGAGCTGCAGGGAAATACAGCTGCTGGCATTAATTAAAGTCAATCTGAAGACACGCTGTCCACAAATCCTTTGGCATGACCCATTAAAAGAAAAACCCAGATCTTCTAATCTGTAGCATTAGGCTTAAATTGTTCAGTAAAAGTGTGGAGGACTGATGGTTTAATTTAAGAAAGGAGTGTCCAGCCCTTGTCCAAATGGCCATTGTGTCTGCTGGTTCTCTAGATGTCTGAAACAGCAGCACCTGAATACCTGGGAAAATCTATTCAACTGACCAAGTTAAGCCAGTAACCTGGTGATTTAGCACATCTTTAATCTTCACTTACACCTCAGGCAACCTCCTGTCATCTTGGAAAGGATCTGAAGGAAAACATGTGGCATATCCTCCCACCTTTTCGGAATTCAGTTTTGTAAACTGTACAAATCCTGCAAGTACTAATACTAATAGGTAAACAGTCACCTCAGAAGTTATAATGGAGCAGAACCATCATGTCTCTTTGACAGAATCACCACATTAAACGCCAACCTAAATGTACAATAAGCTGACCTTGCAAAGCTAATCCAATGTAACCTAGACTGCAGGAAATTAGTTCTGTGGGCATCAGACACAAGTTTAGATTCCCTTACGGACCAAACCAAAGGGCAAAAATTTCCACAGCTCTTACTAGCCTTTTAACTTCCTGTCAATAATTCTTAGAAAAATACACATTTAAATTGAAACCAGCGATTCCATCTCAGGCTTCCTTGGAGATGTTTATTTTACAAATGGATATAATCTTTTACTTAATGAAGAGATGTTATGCAGCTCTGAGGACACAAGAGGGCGATAAAGTGCTACACTTTCACTTCAGAGTGAAATTCTGAAAAAGGTGGATCAATGAAACATTCTCATTGCTGTGGCAGAGAAGTCATAGGCTCACCCGATGTTATCTTCCATTTAAGAGGCAAGTCTTCTGTACCCACTTTCACCAGGGAAACCTGGGACTTGACCCATGCAAAAAATGGACTGCGATTGGGATTGATAAAAGCAGACTATACCTGTTCTTAAAGGTGTGCTCACAGTGTGACGGCTCTTCTTCATAGTTAGAAGCATTTGTTATTGATGTACTGAAACAATGCAATAACACCAAGCATTTTTGACATATTCTGACATTCCTCTTGAAAACATTATTATTACAAATAATAACACTTATGTAGTGCTTTTCTGGACACTCCACCCAAAACGCTTTACAGGTTATGGGGACGCCACACCTTCACCAAAAATGTGTGGCCCCACCTGGATGATGTGACGGCAGCCAAAGAGCACCAGTGTGTTCACCACACATCAGGAGAACTGAGTGATTGAGCCAATTCATAGAGTACTTAGGCCACGAGTGGGTAAAAGTTGCCCTGGACACAGGGGTAACCACCCCTTTTTGTGCTAATGGACTCCTTTTGCACTCCTTGTTTGCTCCTGAGTACACAAACATAGAAACTGAAAGACTAGTACTGTCACTTCGGTTCTTTCTCCATCATAAGGACTGACTGGCTGAATCATGCAAGGACACGTTGAATGAAACTTCTGGTGAAAATTCACAACGGATTATACATGAATGCAGGCTGGTTGCTTATCTAATTCCCCATCCACAACAGAACAACTACATGAAAGCAATGGAAATATTCTGAAGAATACCTTCTTGTTGAGGCTGGGCTATTCACGCCTGATATACATTATATTCTACAGTGAATGTGTTGGGTTTCCAACAGGAACTTCTGGCCCTTGTCACATGAGTTCTTGTCTAAGCTAGACAAATGACTAACTCTATACATATGCAGAGAAACAGCCCACACAATCCCATTCCCACAGTCCTATGAGAAGAAGGTAACTTTATAAGTCAATACTGTGTATTTATGGCTACCTTTAAAAAAACATAACTCCTCTGAGTTCATGGTGGGAATAAAATAATTAAAAATATTCAAAACACAGCCATGTTGTATTACATGCATGAACATACCATCCCAAAAAATACTGCATGTGGCACATAAGAGATAACCTATGTCTTTCAGGTTTTGTGAATAGTTTCTCTCTCCCTGTTATGTACAGGGTTATTCATGGGAGTTTGCAAGACAAAACAAAAATCACAAAATCCTTCATCTGTCACTCTCTTCCACTATTAAAGCAATATTTTAACCCAAAACTTATTTTAAATTGGAAATTGTATTTCACTTCATTTTCAATTGAAATCCTTCAGTTTAAATGACAAAAGTCAAATTTTACTGAAAATCTAAAATTGTGGAAGACTAGCCTGAAAGAACATTCAAATAAGCATGTGAAGATACAAAACACAATCTTCCTCAAGACCGTCAACAAGCAAAAATATATACTGAAGCTTGGTAAGCGCTAACTTGCTCTTAACAAGCTTTGCTTTAGAGAGGAACTGCTGAATCACTCTTTTATTCATCTGGCTAGTCCTTAGGCAGTTGCCTCATAGTCTCGAGGCACAGAATGGGCATCCTCATTAATGATCAACAATGTTCCTTGCTGCCTGTCAAAAAGCTTTTGCTGCCTGACACACTGACAGGCAATTTCATCAGCTCTCAGTATTTCCCTTCTCAGACTTGCTCTACTAATGTTGTCCCTAAACAAAATAAGCAGATCCTGTAGGTTCTCCACACAACTTCCAAGCCCTTATCACCTATAGAGTGGACACCCGCCTCTCGTTCTGTCTTCTTGCTTACAACCCTGTCGTCAGGCTCCTTAGCCCTGTTAGCACACAATTTAAGGTTCCTGTCTTTACCTTCTACTCTCTTTAACCCTTCGACCCTCCTATTTTCAACCCTCTTTCCTCTCAGTCACCCTGTCATCTTCTGCTGCTTACTTGGGCTGGTCCTTATGTTTGGTCTCCTGACTTTCATGTCTCTTGCGCTCAGCACACTGAGCAGTGGTTAGTATTGCCTCCTTGGTTCAAACCCGGACCTGAAGCGTCACTTGCTAGCAGTTTGTACGTTCTCCCCACGTTTGCAACTGTTTCCTCTCACAGGCCAAAAACATACCGGTAGGGTCTGGAAAAATTGCCTCTGGCATGAGTGTGTGCGTGTCTGTGTGTCAGCCCTACGCTGGACCGGTGTATCTCACCTCCTGTCAATTTCATGCCAGGATAGGCTCTGGCTCCCCCACAAACTTGAATTGGAAGAAGCAGTTAGAAAACGGATGGATATGCTCCTTTGCCATCATATGTTTAGGTCCAGCTGAAAGGAAAAAGACTGAATTTCTATCCCAAGACCCAAGACGTGACCCCCAACCAATCTGTTCAGACTGCACCTTTTGATCCCATGATTCATCCCAGCATACCTGTAATTTCTGTACAGTATCTTTTGTTTCATGGTTTATTCTTATGAAGGTGTCTTATTGTTTTGAAAAAGTCTGCAACACATTTTACCTTTTTAAATAGCCAACATGAAATGCTCAAACGACAATATTTTCAAATCTTATAATGAAATATGCTTTGCCCTCTGTTCTAACCCGGTACTTAAAAATCATTTGGATTCACTCTCGGCAAAACTTACGAGGTTTCTGTTTATTTATTTGTTTTTGCCTCTCAGAAGTTTAGAGGAATGAAATTCAAAATCGGTCTAAAAGAAGTCCATTTGGATCAGATGATCCTGAACCTTACCTGTGTTATTAACCTGTGCAAACCCAAAATAACTTATTGTCCTGTAAACGGTAGGACTAGTACATGGTGGTGCAGTGCTAAGCACTGCTGCCAGGCCACGCTGGGGCCCTGGATGAGTGGGGAGACAGAGAAAAGGTGGATATTGAAAGTAGGAGGAGAAGAGGGATACAGAGAGTAGCAGGTAAAGACGGGGTCTATCTGTGTGGAGTTCTTCATGTTCTCCCTGTGTTTGCATGGGTTTCCTCCTGTGCTCCGGTTTCCTCCCAATCCAAAGACGAGTAGGTGAACTGGCTTCTGGGACAAATTGGCCCTGGTGTGAGTGAGTGTGTGTCTGTGTGTCCTGTGATGGCGTCCCACTCAAGGTGTGCTACCTTGCGCCTACTGCTTGCCACAGTGGGACTCCCCCACAACCCTGTATTGGTTTATGGCTAGAAGATGGATAACAGGACTAAAATAATTGTAGATACACAACCAACAATTTTTTAAATGCCATGG